CTCACCTTTCGTTCGACGACGGTTCGTCAGGCACGATGTTTCCGACGTTTCTCCGGGCGTTGAGGAGACCGCGTCTGTTTCCGTGCTCCTATTGGTCGTGACGTCACCAAATTTCATCCAATAAAGTGCGCGCCGAAGTTTTCTCTAGTCGCCGGTATTTTTACTTACTTTCATTTGCATATTCATTCCTACTGGAATGATATTTAGACGTTGGTGATGGGTGTCACCAGTGGGTGTCGCTTCTACTGATTTGTGGGGTCCATTGTACCCTACAGTTTTGAAAAGCCCTTGTTGCACAGCCGTTTTGCGCAGATCTTGGCAGGCCTCTTCATACCAAGACGAAGTCGCCCACTCATCGTAGCATTGGAAGCTCAGTGTGGCATGTCAAAATGCTTTTTCATTAAATGTTTCTCTTGTTAAGCTTCAGTCCTGCACCTGTCCCGCAATCTCGAGCGGGCTGTCAGCCTTCAGCAACATAGCTTTTCCCAAGATCATGAAGAAAGGACAGGCTGCATCCTAACCCTGCTGTGTAGGACCGATTATGATGTGCTACAACAGCCTCGAGTGGACATTTCCTGCCACCTGGGAAGTTGGAGCACATGCTCATATATTGTTTGCCTCGAATGGCACACTCTGCTCGGCCATTTGCAGAAGGATGCTATGGTGATGTGAATCGAGGGGGGTTATCCATGGTCTTCTGCACCTTTCAGTTTGCAGCTACAAAATGGCAACCTTGACATTTCTATACATATCTCTACTAAGCAAAGAGATTACACTTTTAGCATCTTCCCTACCTGGTTTTGCTGCTGTTCTGTCATCAAAATGGGTAGAAAAACCTTGCAAGGCCTGCAGCAAGTCCATGGTAGTCTTGGGTGCTCTAATTTTCACTTGTTCTTGCAATTCTTTTATTAACCCATGGGTAATGAGTGCAATGGTAGCGGATCGTAGTAATTTAGGCTTTGCTGCTGTTCTGTCATCAAAATGGGTAGAAAAATCTTGCAAGGCCTGCAGAAAGTCCTTGATAGTCTTGGGTGCTCTAATTTTCACTTGTTCTTGCAATTCTCCTATTAACCCATGGGTGATGAGTGTGATGGTAGCGGATCGTGGTAATTTAGGCTCAACAAGTTGCGATATTCTCTTCAAAAAAATATGCTCCAGGGCTGTACCAAACATGAAGCAGAAGTGGACGGCTTGATCCTACATTTCTACGGTATTTCGTTGGAACATTCAAAAGGTTGATTTCCACTTCGTTCAGGATTCGTCCACATTGTCAGCTAACTGTAACTCGTATCATTGATTTGCTGCACCTCCAAGAAAAAAGGTGCACGTTTGGTCCATGATCTCAGTCGGAGGTCCAGGCGTTTTTCTAGTAGGTGTACTTGTAGAAAGCAATCCCAACTTTTGGATTAGTTCATTGTACCTCAAAGATGCCTGGCTTTATTACAGCGAAGCTGTTCATGGCTAGGCCTCCGTGAATTTTTCATGTGCGTCAACAAGAACTCTACGCTCACACTGCTACACGCGCACGCCTTCCCCGTATAAAAGATTCGAAGTAAATAACCAAAGTAAAGCGTTGACAAATGCGCGTGTCTAATACCATTTGTTTTAGGCTTTTGCTTCAGAACAGTTAATGCTGCAGATGCCGGCACATGGATCACCATTCATGCTTGGGGTCGATATTAAGGGTTTCTCAAAGATCTGCTGCTGTACGACCCAAGCCGGCCATGTCTAAGCTCGCACCACCCTCTCTTTGTCGTCGGTCCAAACGCTTGTGTGCCTATAGTTTCCTTTCCTTCTGCTCTCCTGGGGTGGTGCTCTCGTCGCACGTCTAGTTTCCTCCGGCTCCTCTGGGCAGCAATAGTTGGCCACACGAAATAATGACCACCGATCAAGACGTGTGTGCGTACCTTTCGTCATGATGACCACCGATCAAGACAATAAATGTGTTTGTACCTTTGTTCAAAGTTCTGTCACATCTGTGTTGTGTGCTAAACAGCTTCGCTGGTCTTCCAGCTCCACAGAGTGAAATGGCTCATGATTTTTTATCTCAAATCTGGGCCTTTTGTTTTCAACAAGCATGGACATCAAGGCTTGAATATATTTGTTTTGTGGCGAAAGTTGCTGGCTGTTGTACATCAATCGCTTAGAGTGTGACCGCAACGTCGGAAGATGGAGCCCCAACTCCCAGGTCATAGCCGTAAACTCGCTGCAACACAAGCTTGTATGTAAAATACAGCCATCTGTATATTCATCCTTTACAAGCCCCTTTTCCATCAGCTCCGATGGAACGTTACCTTTCTGGAGGACTACTTCGATGAGCTCCGGAGATGTGACATGCCCTGGTAGCTCCATGGTAGATTCATTTTGAACTTGGGTAGCGGTTGGAAACTACTTGGTCAAGGCCCCAAGCAACAAAAAATTGTACTCACGTGTTCCATATCCTGCCGACTGCGCTAAGCTTATTCCTCTCTTTTGGGCTTTCTTCAGATTTTAACAACCTACTCGTTGTCATTGTGGTTGGCGTCATGGATGCCACTGACGATCGCCACGAGTGCTCGGTGATCCGTAAAGTAATGGGGTGAGGCGAGGCACTGCATGCACGTGCCAACTCGTGGCGGTGGCTGCCGTGAACTGGGACGGATTAGCACTCGCTTGGCGAACGAAAGCCTCGAACTGCCAGCACCATTAGGAAGAGTATGCAGCTGTGGCGATGTTGGAGAAGGCGTATGTTTTCCCTGTGATGCTGAGCGGTGAAGGGAGGTGTAAGTGGGTAATGTTGAAGTTCAGAGGTGAGTGGGGAACACAAGCAGAGAAAAACTAGGCGAATCTCTGCGGGAACGGCAGCTGTAAGGTGACGGGTTCTAGCAGAACAGTTTTACGTTTCGAGTTTGGTTTGAGAAGTAGAGATGTTAGTGAAATCAAACGGCGGTGGAAGTTTTGAAAACCATTTAACATTACCCATAACAACTGGATACTGCCATAGTGTGGCTTGGTATAATGTGAGTACTGTTTGAAAACAACTGTTTAAAGCAGAAAACAAGAATGCTCTCCCTTCATTGTGCATTTACTGGAGAGATACCGGGGCTCCTCTTTTCTCTTAGTGCGGCACGGCCCACAGGAAGACCAGATTTTCCTGGCCTTGTGCCAAGAGGGGAAAGAAGGGTATTCCCATAGGGGTGACTACAGCCTTGATATCTCCGCAAAGTGTCGCCCTTAAAGCTATCTCCTTAAAAACTCAAATATAACTCGGTGTTTACTAAAGACATTTTATTTGGGTGTTTAATTGAGTCGATTAAAGAGGATTTAATATTTGTCTTTCATTTGCTGTCTTTAAGTGACGGTTAGCCACTGTAGGAAAATAGTTTTTGTGCAGTGCAAAATCTGAAAAAAAAAAAACTATCTCAACCACTCTGGAAGCTCGTTCATCGTGACCTCAAGTCGACCCTGGTACTGGCAGAAGGGGCTAGAATGGATAAATTAATGTTTACGTACACAGTCGAACCCGATGCTTGCGTATACAGTTGAACCCGGATATATCGAATTCAAAGGGTTCGATATATTGATAATTTGATAAACAAAAATATGTTAACTTGAGCTCCAGTTGAAATTTCCGCGCGTGTCTGCCAATACCGAAGGTTGCGACAAACGGGACCTTACCAAATAGAGCCTCTAAGAGCCGCTAAATACAGTACTAGAGCTTAGTTGGTGAAGATCACAAACACTGTGGCGTTTACACACGACTGTGTTTGCAATCGTTTACGCCTGGCTACAACCTCCACACAGTGCCGACAACAAAACACAAAAATAATTAACAACAAAACAGAAAAAGCAGGCCGCATAAAAGAACTGATCCATAGAATACAGTTAAGCAAGTAACGAAAAAAAAGCCTTACTAAATTCAAGCAGCAAAAAAAAAAAAAAAAAAAAAACTCTTGAAGCAAAAACGGTTAGAGAAAAAAGTAAACAAATATATAAGGCGTTCAAAGTGCTATTGCTCAACCGTTGTCGACGCACTCAACTTGACAAGACTTTTTTTTTTCGTTTTTCCGCTTACTTTTATTGTGGGGCTAAGGGGTCGCGCAGCGACAGTGCGAGTTCGGGGAAAGAGCGCACACTACCATTCCAAGAGCGGCCACTCCCTCCGTCCCTACGTGCAGGGTGCATGCCCTTCCCCTTGCTTTTGCCATCCTCCATTTTTTTTTTTTTTTTCTACGGTTGCTCTTTTTTTTAACAACTGCTCTTTTGCTGCGTACCCCCATGCGCATATGCTGGTTTGGGCACTGTGCTTTGATCGCTATGTCGAGTGTCACCGCCATTGGAGTTCGGTACAGAAAAACAATGCTAATTACATGTGATTTTCAAGGGGTTGTTTGGACTGTTCGATATAAACAATAATTTGAAATACCCGGGTGTGATATAACCGAACTCGACTGTATGAAGACCTAATATTGTAGTGCTTGCCAAAATCACTTTATTCGAATGCCCAAATAACACATACTACCAATTACGGTGGATTTTCCCTTCTATGACAGGCAACGTAAATAAGACCGGTATGTGTAAAACTCGGAGTTCCAGCCGATGCTACTTTCTGTTCCCGACCACTCTGACAGACGCCGTTGATCAAAGAATTCGAGCAATCTGTGCGTAGGATGTAAAACGAAAGGGATTGGCATGAATTCTGGTTGATTTCGAGTAGGAACTGACAGCTTTTCAAGGCGGTATGTGTAACGCTCGCTGTCCTTCAGCATCCCAGCTCTTTAACATACTGTGTTAGTATTGTGTCTTTATCATGATTTGCAACTTCTAAGTTTTTGCGCGGAAGTTCCCTTCAATACTAGCTTGGCTTCACTGCATGAGGCATGCAGTCGTGGAGGCACGCTAATCAAAAAAGGAACAAAAGGCACGCTAAACAAAAACAAAAAAACAGAGAGCTACAAAAAATCTCAAATATGTCGGGACACTTCATGCTTGCAGAATGAAATGGCACACACACACAGATGTCAAGAAAAGTTCAAACAATGTGTTTATTAAATAAACCTTCAATATTAAAATTAAGATTAAACCCTTAGCTGAAGAGACTCTGACAGGAAGGCATCTGGGTTCGAAATTTCACAAAGCAGACCTGAAAGTGAGAAAAAACACTTGTCACATTTTACGCAACGTTTTGAAACAAAGGTTCTACACTGCAAAACTTTCTGCACTACTAAAAGCATGTACCGGAGTAATCATAACTTCAGTAAATAAAGAAAAAAAGTTGCCTTCAACAAGATTTAGAATTGCAATACAGTCTAAATACCAATTAAAACAACCATTAAAAAATTAGACGTTTACAAATCTCTGTAATGCAAAATTAAAGTGCAGTTCTTGAGGAGGAGGAGGAGGGGAAAGTATGCCCCCCCTCCTCCTCCTCCTCACCTTCCCCTCCCCCACAGTTTCCCCGCTAAATTTAGCTGAAAAAGTTATGCCACGTGACCTCAACACCAATTCAATTCCCCACTAGATTTAGTAGGGAATTGAATTTGAGTTGAGGCTTACGCTGAATGTAGCGTAATTACGCCGATGGCGACAAACCTGGGAACGGGCACCTAAGAGCTGCACTCGAAAACCTGCCACGTATGCAACAATAGTAGTTTACGAAGTAGTCTGTAGTTTACTGTCCTTTGCTATAAGAGCTGCACTTCAGAATTTGGCCATGAAGAAAATCTTTTCGCACAAAAAAATCTTGCAAAGAAACTACAAATTCTCAAAGATAAATTTTTACATTTTGCAGCGTGTCACCGTCCCAATGTGTCCTCAACAAATTATAGAAACAATTATCACCTGTGAAAGCAAAGCTTTTAGGCTAGGTGGCACAAACTACTACCCATTACAGCGGGTGCAGCTAATACCATGCATCCATCCGAACAAGCGATTGTCCACAAAAAGATCAAGACACCCACCCATGACATCGCAATACTCTGCGAACGACTGGCACGGCAGCAGTTGCTCCTCGAAGTTCCTGAGCAGCTTGTCTCCCAACTCCAGCATGGGCTGATCGCTGTGGCGGATGTACTCGGCCAGGGCAACAGACCAGCCGTCCTCGTTCGTGCACGACACCTTCTGCAAACAAAGATTCGCCTGGCGTCAACAAAACTGCCCAACTGTGGTATCCTTCGTGTTACTATTAACCACACGAAAGAATGACAGCTCACGGGTTTTTTTTCTTAAAGAAATTACTAAAGGAAGTGCTAAAGGTGCTCACACATTCTCTAAAAAATTTTAAAAGCTAAAAATATGAGGCGATACAATTTTACTTTAGTTTATCAAAAAGAAAAAAAAAACCTCATCCAGTGTTTTTTTTTTTTTTTTTTTAAGAATGTTTAGTTTTTTGAAGTTCTGTTTCTTAGGAAACACAAAATAGTTTCTATAAAATGAGTGCTCAAGAATCCAGAAACCTTCCTTTCTTCAAGGAACACTAGTTTATCGTTTTAGAGCGCAGCTCTCAGGCGCCCGTGTCTGGCTTGAGCGGTGTCGCCGTCGGCGTAACCGCGCAGTGCATTATGGGACGCGTAACGCCACTGGTGACATCACTGGTGACGTCACATGTGACGTCACTGATGATGTGATCAGTGACGTCACTAGTGGAAAATTCCCCGCTAAATCTAGCGGAAAAAATTCCCCGCTACATTTAGCGGAAAAAGTTCCCCGCTAAGGTTAGGGGAAAAAATTGCCCTGCTAAATTCCCGTCAAATTTACACGCGATGCTCTCACCAAAGATGCGCATTTGCTGTGACTTATGTTAAGCACACGTTGATCCACATCCATGTCAGTAGTGGGGGACTTTCCACCTTCTCCCCTCAGTACCCTTCCCTCCTCTTCTTCCTCAAAAGCTACGCTCTAATACGGCATTACGGGAGATTGTGAACGTCTTTTTTCATTCTTGTTTGATTGCAACAAAATTTCGACATTAAAAGAAAATCATTGGAAGAGCGAACAGTGAAGGCACAGTTGAAGGAAACTGCTGTCAAAGGAATTCTGGCCGTTCAATAGCAGGCGTCATTAAAGTGCTGGATGAAATTCTATATGGTAGCTATACAAGTACCGTCAAGGTGGTGCATGACGCTCAAGCCGAAAATGACAGAGTGCCTTAGTGCTGCCAGTGGCCACAACAGATCAATAGGTGTGCTTTCGCAAACAGTGATGCATCACTTGCAGTGCGCTCATGGTGCGTCCATTTCGGACGCACCATGAGCCAGAAATAGCGAGGCCTTGCCGGCAACCAGTAGAAGCACTCGCGGCATGATCAATCAAGGGCGATACTTGGGTTAGTCGGAATATCCGGCACTTTCGGTATCACCGGATACCCGGTGCCACCTGCCTTGAACATGATGGTGTACAGGCCGTCCACCATGGCCAGGTACAGGAGGTAGGGCTTGTACACTGCAAACTCCTTGGGCTCCTGGTCGGCCAGGGCGGAGCAGCCCTGGGGGCTCAGGTGCCGTGCATGCGCCAGCACCAGCATGCGGCGCACCAGGGACACCCGCCGGGAGCGCCACTTGGCAGGGGACCACACTGCCAGTGCCATGGTGGCCCAGTAGCAGGGGCCCTCGCTCTACAATCAGACAAACTGATTATTCAAACGAGCCAACGAGCTTTTAACGCAGAATCTGTTGTAGGGCTGGGTTTCATGGGAAAAGCGGCACGTTACACTCAACCTACACATGATCTTACATGATCATGTGTACCTACACATGATCTTACACCCAGACATCATGACACCCAGACATTATGTAACTTGACATCAGGTTCGGGTGTGACGTTATGACACCATGTTACAACACAGAAATAGTGCGTGCCAGGCACATTTGCAACATATTCTGTGTGTCTCCGAGTTTATAAGATATGATCAAGACATGCTTATATTCTTCAAGTGTTCAATAATATCCTTAGTGCAGTAGAACCTCTCAGTTCAGTCAGTTCACCTTTTTGGAGTTAAAACCATCCTGACCACACCTGTATGGGTAAGTGAAAACTCTCTGCTCTGCCCTAATCTTCTCCATATTTGTCTCACAAACGAAGCAGTGCTATACCTTGCTCGTGTCTCGGATGGAGGATCCAGAGATGGCCTTACCTCGAAGCAGTTTTCAATTTGCCGCTCCGGTGACATCTCGAGAAAGTTGGACAGGTTTTTCTCTTCCCTGGCCACACATCTTGTCCTGAAAAGTCAGAAACAGTTCTTGACTTCCTCCCATGGACAGACAATTTATTCACGAAGTTGCGATGAGGTTGGTGTTGCGAGAGGAACCGGTGCGAGTATACAGCTTTGGAAACATAACTTGCAGGGTAACAATAGATTTAGGTTTGGGCAAGCCAGCGGGCACGGAGAGAGTAACTAAATATCAGTGCATCATATTTTTACCGGACGACGTGGAAACCTCCTCTACCTACGGGGGCGACCCGCGGTGCTGAAAGCATGCGATATGTGACATCTTAGGTCCCGGGCTTACTACTGGTCAGAGCCCCTAGAAGCTTCTTTTTAGTCGAAATACAAAATATAAGTGGTGCAAACAGTTTCAATTATTTATAAAAGTAGTTTTTGTTCAGTACTTTAGATCCGAAAAGAAACAAATGCAGTTTATAAAGTATGGCACGCCGTCGTCTGTGGTCCGCTTTCCGGCAGTAAAATCGTAAAAGTGGTTAGGCCTAAGAATGGTTGCGTTGCTCTCCGTGCTGAGTGAGCTTCATAGGGTGCTTTTCCTTTGGCAAAAGGAACGCCCTAAAAAGATTCGCAATTTTCAAAACATGGTCACTGTGGCGCGCACCCACCCAGCCGTGGGGCGCCTCCATCGGTGGAGACGTGCCACAGTACCTTGCCTCCAAATATGTGTAAATTTTTCGGGAAAAAAAGGGTCTTCACTATGCAAGTAAATAAGGCATGTTATTTATTAAGATTTCATTCACGCTGCTCGTTAGATAGTTAATCATGTCCAATACTTTTTTGTGGTTGTTATGAATATGCAAAAATTTATTTTGATAATATTCACACTTCGCTTTTTTTCAAGTCAGAGTTCAATTTGTTTCTAAATTTTGTGAACTCAAAAGCATGATACTTGCAGATTTTTCCCCCGATTCTTTTACACAGTTCGCCAGTTGTCCACGGTTTTCTAATCTTTCTAGTAGGGTTGTGCGAATAGTGGATTTTGAGTTTGAATCGAATTCGAAGCGAATAGTGATTTTGGTCGAATATTTTCGAATCGAATATCGAATACTTACCGTTCAAGAAACCTTGCCATTTTTAGAAGGAAGTTTACAGAAATACTTCCAAACTGGACTTCTCACGCTGTCGTTAGTCCATCTTGCCAACCGACTTAGCTGCCATCATTTTGACGATGTCGATGTCATCCACTCACCTTGTTGCTGTAATAATATAATATTGCTTCGAAATATTATAATTTAAATGTTTTGAAACCGTGTTTATGAGTTTTATCGGAAATAAAAGTTTCTGAGCAATTATGCATGCTATGAGAAATTTCTCAAGGTGTTTATTTTTATCCTAAACTTGTTTTTCTAAATTTATATCTGGACGTGGCGGTGGTGAGAGAAAGACGAGGGCGCCAAGATTGGCGAAGACGGCGCCGGCGTCTCTGGAGTTCGTTGCTCGGTTTCTTTTGCCCGTTATTAAAAAAGTTGATGAAATAATTACGATGAATATATTTCAAAGTTCCCACCATAGTATTTATACCGTTTTGCCGAACGTGTGAGTATATTCTTGATCTTAGATATCGTTTTTTTCTGGTCTTTAGACAGTAAAAAAACTAACGACCGCGACTTTGCGAACACTTCGAAAAGCACGAATATTACAACTGCTCTCAAAGCGAATATCGAATAGAGTACTATCCGAAACTACTATTCGAAAATTCGAATATTCGCACAACACTACCTTCTAGGTCTTTCTTTACTTTCCCGGAGGGGAAAAGCTGCATCATAACAACGCTTGAATTTTGTCAGGCAGCTTTTATTAGCAACTGATTAAAATAGTTAAGTGGACGTTTCAATATTTTACCAATAACCAAGGTGGTGGGTAGAGGTGCTATCCTAGCTGTTGCACCAGTCTGTCTGGCGGCCACCGCACAGAGAAAAAAGGGGCCGAGCACTTACGTGTTGATGACGTAGACGACCATGTGAAGGATGTAAGGGATGAGGTGCATGTTGCTCTGGGGGCCTCCTCCCCCGCTGTCTTCGCTAAAGGAGCGCTCCTGAGCAAAGCGGGAGATCAGCAGCTTCAGGTCGTGCAGGGTGGAAACATAGCCCACATCCAGATGACCCGTGCAGTCCTGGATGTACGTGTTGTGCCTGAAACGGGGGGTTGAAAACATCACAATGAAAGGAAGGCCACCACTTCCACACAAATCAAAGAAACCAGAAAAAAAAAAGCTAATTAAAAAGAAGAGGAGATGTGTTCTTAGGAACATGCTTTTAAGAAACCTATTTCACTGTTCAATATAAGAATCATTAGCTTAAATGACATTTCCACTAAGCACACACCCAGTGCAAGTGTGATTTGAGTCAACGATTCTTGTACTGTAGACATGCACAAGATGCAGAGCTTGCATTTGTGCTTTGCTGGCATCTATGTTGAAACATACTGCAGTATTTGTTGTAATTGCAATTAAAACCATTGATGCAAGCACAGCGCAGTAATTAAGATGTGTATCTTAATTCCAGCTTCACCAGCTTCTGATGGAAGTAAACGAGTTTAATTCATGGTAACTGTTACTTGAAATTCGACAATTTCAGATACATAGCACAGTGGTGGTCCAGCCATTTTAGGTTTTGGAGCAATTTCTGGAGCAAGAAAAACCCAATTTTGGAGCAATTCGTATCACATAAACTCCCCTTTTGGAGCAGGGAAAAGCTCGTTTTGGAGCACCTTGGTATCAGGAAAACTAAACATTTTGGAGCAGCATGAACATAGAGCAGTTCTGTGCCATGTCTTTAATATTATATATATATATTACGGCTGCCGAAAGTCCGAAACTATAGCGATTTATTAAACATGTTTGTAAGCTCTATTCTGAGTTCGCACGCAGTGCGACAGTATGACAACCAAGGGGTGACCAATCGTTTACGGCATTTGACATGAAAAGGAACACGCAACAATTCGCAACAAGGAAATCAAGCAACGACCACGCGATCGAAAAGAGTACCACGTTCGGTATTGATGCCGCTGGTCTGCCGGTGAACGAGCGTCCAAGCAAATTTCTACTATGGGGTCTGTAACTTAAAACGCGCATGCAGAAAAAAAAAAAACTACTCACGTTGGCTCCTCTTTAAGAGGATTAGTAGTGGCGATGCAGAAATGAACAGCCACAACGCCGCATATCAAAACGGTCGCAACAAAACAATAATGCGCAATAATGCCACTGGGCCGGAAACCTGAATTGGATTGTAATGGCTATGGTAACGGCTCTACCTTTATATCGGGCGGCAGCTTGCACCTGCTTGCACCACCTAGAGCACTATATAGCTCTATAGTGCTCTAGCACCACCTAGCCTAGAAAATAAAACTCCCCCGGGTTGCCAGCCGAAAACGCCATTCTTCCAAAAAAAGGATTCGTTCACGGACCGACTGGCCCTTTTTGGCGCAGTTTGGCGAGGTTTGGCGCAGTTTGGCGCAGTTTGGCGCAATTTCTGTCTTTAGGCGCAGCAAGGCGCAGGTAAAGGAGAATTTATCAAAATGGCGCAATTGGCGCAGCTGGACCACCCCTGATAGCAGTTTGTTATAAACATCACATCTATGGTCGCTGTCATCCACTCTGTGTCACCTTTAGCTTGCCAAGGGAAGTCTCAGTGAAATGCCAGTCACCTGTTTGAGGCTTCCAGTATACTTTTTTTTGGGTGACCAGGCTATTCCCTCGCTTAACAGGACGACAGTTAAAATGGTACGTGTAATCCTCTCTCCAAAATGCATGTCTGCAACCCCGTTTACAAGACTGCATGAACACCCCTCATGCTCGCAGTGCGGAATTCCAGTTTTGTGGGTATCGCACTCATCACTCACCTGGCCAGACAGCTGGCGAAGGCAGACTCTGGCACCTGTGGCCCCCACAGAGGCAGCAGACCATTGCACTTGGTGTTGGCGTTCTGCAGGGCCGCACTCTCCCACTCGTCACGACCCCTGGCATGCCTAGGAGAGAAGGGAAGGAAGCAACAACTTGTTGGCTCAGTAAGGTGCCAGTGGCGCAGCTTGCTCTTCGCTTGATATTATTCGGTCGCAGCTGCATTGTAAAAAGGCCATATCAAGCGTGGAAGTCGGGGTCCAGCGTTCTTTGTATGTCTCGTGTTGTTGCAGACCTTTGTCTATTGCGTTCAACGCGGCGCGCCCGCCATGCCTGTCTCTTGGACGCAGTGTGGCGCTTGTGTGGTTTGGCGATCTGTGTTAGAAAGTGAGCGAGGGGCCCCCTTACCGCGGCTGCAGTGGAAAAAGCGAAAATATGTAGGCGAGCTGCTCGATAGAGGACCGGAGAGCACAGGAGAACGCGGCCATGTGGATATTTCGCCAGAGGGGCAGGGGGGGGGGGAGGGAGAGAGGAAGGGGGAGCGTTGAGGGTACATGAGTGTAGCATGAACAGTGGGGAGGTAGATAGCGCTTTCCCTGTGATCATGTGGGTTTCTGGGAACAGCGGCCACCTATGCCTACAGGGGGTGAAGAGCAAAAAAGAGCCTTGCCACAATTGACGTGTATGTGTGAGAAACGACAGGGGGAGAGAGAGCACTGTGTGCCTCTGCCGTAGTGTGGTACAGTAATCTCTCGTTATAACGATATCTCGGGGCGAGGAGGAAGCGTTCTACAGAATCAAGGTCAGAGGAAATACGCCACCACCCAAATATGCCACAAGCATAACCATCGGTACGGAAGTCACCAACAGATGGACTGTGCTGCCCGTCGGTGCCCCTCGTCTCTTGGTAGTCCTCACAATTTCTGCACCATTAACCATAACCGAGTCCCGGCAGTACCACAAGGAATCTCGACAGCAGTTGCAGCAGGAATAGACCTTGAGTTCCGTTTCCATCTAGGACTCAAAAAAAAAAAAAAACAACTTTCAGCCTTTCCTTTTTGGTGAAAAAGGAAGACTAGCGAAGCTGTTATCTTGACGACGTCTAGGACGATTCCTAGAGGACGACGTTTAGGACAATCTCAAGGACGACTTCTCGGACGACCTCAAGGACGATGCCTAGAGGACGATGTCTAGAGGACATCAAGAAGAACCTCAAGGACGACATCTAAAACAACCTCGAGGGCAACCTCAAGTACAACGTCTAGGACGACCTCAAGGACAACTTCTAGGACGACCTTGAGGACAACCTCGAAGACGACGTCTAGGACAACCTACAGGATGACTTTTAGGATGACCTTGAGGACAATCTCTCAGACGACCTCAAGCACGACGTCTAGGATGACCTCAAGGACGACGTCTAAAAAGACTTCTTGATTGTCGCCAAGAGAAATTCAGCCTTTCCACTCTGGTGAAAACCGGAGTGGAAAGGCTGGAAAGGTTGCCGCCATCTATGAGCGATGGCGGCAACCAGACAACCGGCAAGCCAATTGTCTGGTTGCCGCCGTCTTCTATAGATGGTGGTAGCTGCCCAGAGTATTGTGGCGACATTTGTTTGCTGGCGGACATGATCCTAGGGAAACTACCATAATATTCCGAGTCATCGCCCGCCCCCCCCCACCGCCTGAAATCCATAAAAAAAAGTGGGGTGGGCCATGTCACGGCGAGTGAGTACAGCAAGTTGAAAAAAGCAGAAAAAACTGCCCATTTTTCTCTGCGTATCTAGCGCTGCTGCACAAGAGATACATTAAACTCAAAACTCAATTCAGTTTTATTGTTATATAGAAAAAATGCTCACGAAAGTATACTTTACTATCGCGAAGTTCGTTGCTTGCATACGCGCTAGGAACAGTGCCAATCTGCACACAGCGCAAACGTTTTTTCCGTGAAAGCATGTCACCCCTATGTTCTCCGAGTTAGTAAAAAAAAAAAAAAAGAAAGAAAAGTCTAAATGGAACAGCGCGGAACATAGGACAGAAGGAACAGGACAACACGAGCGCTGACTTACAACTGACTGTTTAATGAGAAGCGAAGAAAGAAGAAGAAATAAGAAGCGAAGGAAGAAGAAATAAACTGAAAATAAGGATTAATACAAAATACTTGCAAAGGAAATAACTAAAAGATGAGGGAAATCCTTATTTTCAGTTTATTTCTTCTTCTTCCTTCGCTTCTTTTTCTTCTTCTTCCTTCGCTTCTCATTAAACAGTCAGCTGTAAGTCAGCGCTCGTGTTGTCCTGTTCCTTCCGTCCTATGTTCCGTGCTGTTCCATTTAGTCATGAACCAACTAGCCCATCAAAGCACACTGCTCAAAGAAAAGTCCACAAGAAAATAGAAAAACCAAACAAGCGCAACGAGCGAGCGGACCGAAGAAGTGACGAAGAGCGATCCTGGGAAAGCAGAAAAGTCGGCGACCGCGTTGGCGAATACTTTGGCATCGGGCCAAGTCAGGCGCCTTGTCAATCGCAAGCTCTTGAGCAACTTTCTTGTTTGGTGCGTACATGCATGCATCCGTGCACGGCGTGCTATCAATGGGGGTTTGGGATGCTCTACAAACGTCTGTGTAGAGCTAGGGCATTCCAGCAAAGCTCTATTTGCCCGTTGGCATTGTCTAAAACATTGCACTACCACGGTCGCGATGAGCGAGGAGGAGAGGGTTCGCAGCGATCTTACTTCGGCAGAGAGAGACTTTGACCTTACACTCCACGCCAGGATGTGGGGCGTTTGCTTACCACGTGATCCCTGACTCTGTTACTGCTTGTGTTATCTTTCAGATTTTTTTTTTTAATTTTTGTTTTGTCGGGTCAGTTTTTTTGCACGCAAAACAAACTTTTATTTTGTTATCTCCATCGTTTTCTTTTCGCATGGATACACTACCACTTCGGGGTCGCTCACGGAGGAAATGCGTAAACACGAAGAAGTGTCTTTCCCTCCTTCATTTTACTTTGTTACGGACGTCCTCCAACTGTAAGGTCTGTGGGCACGTCATTTGGGTAGGATGAGTGTTCAGGATCGCGGAGTCCCCGTTGGGGTACTTAAGGGGTGGGCAATGACTCTGTGCTTTTTGGAAATCAATATTGGCCCAAAAAATGGGGTGGGCGATGACTCGGGAATGGGTGATTACTCGGGATATTTCGGTAGACCTTAAAGGAGCTGTGCAACAATTTTTGTACTGTGCACAAATACCGCTTAAAACGGATGCCTAACGTTAATGACCTATGAAACACGCGTTCGTTTTTCACCCCACGCAATAGAAGTCCCAGAAAAAAAATTAAAGAAAGACGAGCAGCGTTCACCCCCTCAACTCGCAGCCAGAACAAGCGGCCACGTGATCTGGAGCCGATTATATGCCGCCAGTGTTGATCACAGCCACGCGCTGGGGTTGGCAAAGCGCAGGACACGCGCTGAGTTCCAGACATTGCTATGGCTCGGCTGTTGTCGTCGCTGCAGCGATTGGACACGGGTCACTACCCGAATGCTTCTCGAGCTAGCAATTGTCACGAGCCCAAGTCGAGTGCCCACGCAATGCTCGGGTCCAATCTATGAACCTCATTCAAATATCGTCACTTGGGTGTACTGCGATCCCCGAGTTACGTCATCAAATTTTGCAAAGGAGAGATTGAATGAAAATGATCGCTTTTGTCCTTGAAATTACACCGCAACAAAGGAGTTTCTTGGCCAATGGCGTTGCGTGTGAGTATCCTTGAGTCCCAGGTGTGCCAGTAAGCTCGTGTAGAGAGAAAAACATTCCAATTGAATATCGTTGCACAGCTCCTTTAACGGCTCCGCTGTAAAACGTCGGTCGGTTCTACTGTTTTTGCCAGACGGCTGGTCCGACCGCTCACCTGACGGCAGCCATGTGGCAGTCTACGTGCACAACGTTGAAGTGCGTGACGGTGGTGTAGCCGGGGCTCTTGCGTGGCTTGGCCTCAAAGTCGTCCAGGTGGCAGCGCTTGGTGAAGGTGTATATGCCCAGCACCTTGGCCGGCTGGAACTTGTAGCCCTCCCGGCAGATGATGCACACCAGGCCGGCCTCCTCCCCCAGGTCCTCCATCTGCTGAAGGATTGAGCTCTTGGCCGTGACCTGCATAGGGGGGGGCAAGAGACGACATCATTTGCACTGCGGCCCCTGCAGTCAGTGCAAGCGTCCTGGACGTAGCAGGCAACGACCGGTGACATCACTTTCGTATGTGTTCCCAATGCAATTCTGTGGTTCTTTGAGCCAGCTGTAAAAAGGTACACAGTAATCCCCCGTTATAACGAAACCGCTTTTTTAGAACTATTGCTTTTACCGAAGTTCAACGTGGTCCTGACCAAAATGGACGCATTTTTAACCAGATTATTCTAAGTTTATCGGCGGCCGACCATGCTTGTTACAAAGGCCACGGTGCCGATAGCATGGAAGCCTACACGGAAGCAAGCAGACCCTCACGTTTCCTCCCCCTTCTCCAGTAATGCTAACGGCAAACTGAGAAAACGGAGTAAATGGATGATGAAGGGCAGAGCACACAGAGCTGGCAAAGCACCGCTTCCGATGCCGATGCACCGAAGCGGAGACGTAAGCAGGGAGCACCAGGAACAGTGTCAACGTTCTGAAGGTACTTATGGTGGCCGCGACCGACGCTGCCAGACTCCTGTCAGAATCGGGTCAAGGGGGAGATGGAGCACAGAGGAGACTATCCCTTTAAGAGCCCCCGACGTGCTCACCTGCAGCGTACTACACGAACACGTGTGTCATATGGGAGATTGGGAGTGTTAAAAAAAAAATTAGGTTGGGTTTATGTTTATACAGCCTAGAACTTGGTCTGCCTCGACGGGCAACGAGTCTCCCAGCTGTAGATGAGCAATTTAGCTAGTACAGTACAACCGCTAGCCTGGGGTTTTTAACATGCATCACGCAGTAGTGATACACAACCGCGCGCCAATACGATGCTCATCCAGATCAAAACGAGCAAGGGTGGGGATTGAACCAAGGATCACCGAGTTCTGCAGCGCGAGCTTTCGCTCCCAAGCTCCGAGCTGGTGTACGCTAGCCCACTCGGCCACCAATCCCCCCTGGGAGTGTTTACCAAAGGTTGCTTACCGTAGAATATCGCGTATCTGCCCATTCCACATTGAGCGCCCATACCCAAATTTGCAAGATCTGAGAGAATATGCACAGTAGATTTATACGTAAAATTGATTGACCGGACAAGCACCCATCCCCCATTTTTTCGCAATTACCGTATTTATTTGAATATAGGTCGACCTTTTTTTTTTCGGAAATGTTGTTAAAAATTAAGGATCGACCTATAATCGTGACCAAAGAATTTTGACCTAATTCGCAACCAAAATTTGAAACCCTACCGAGGGTATGGAGCTATCTATCACCTAGCCCGCGTCGCGGTAGAGCCTCGCGGCTTCTTGTTTCAAAAAGCTTTTGATGCACAAAAACAACCGAACAGCAGCAGCCGACAGCCCTCCTCGCGCACATTTCTCGGGCGTCGAGTTTCGCCATCAGCCTGTAGGGTTCCCCTCGCTGGGCAAGGGGGAAGGGGAGGGAGAGGAACGCGATGCGCCATGCACTTTGTACTTTGCCCTCCTATGCGCTCCATTCCTCCCTCCCTCGCAAACCCGCAAAAAAAAAAAAAAAAAAGAAAGGAGCTATTTTATTTTGCTTTCTTCCGGGGGTCGCGTGTTACTCACGGGGCTCGCAGCGTTGCTCGTGTCTTTGTGTTTGATCTTTGGTCGCTCGCCCGTCTCCACCTTCTTTCGTTTCTTCTTGTCGTCATCCATTTTACAACGGTGTCAGTGAGGTATTGTTGCCGATTTGCGAGGATGTCTACCAAGCTGACGAAGCTTTTTTGACATCGCCCTGTGATTTAGATTTAGCTGAGAGTGCTGTAAATAAAGGTTTGTTTCTGTTGCCCTAACTTTCGCCTGTTCCTTAAAAAAAAAAAAAAAAAGAAAGGTCAACCTATATTTGAATTATTTTTTTTTATTCACGGTGGGCTCAATAAATAGGGGTCGACCTATTTTGCGTGGTCGACCTATTTTCGGGTAAATACGGTATCTCTAAAGTTTGAGTGGGCACTTTCCTAGTATTTTACGGTAGATATGCGAGGTTGAAAAAAGTGGCCGGCCCAAGTCCGAAATCGCCAAAAAGTTTGACAATCCGGCATCGACTGCTCGACATTCCACCACTTTGCAGAACAAGCAAGGCATACCGGATGGGGTTGAGAAATTTCTCATGCCGGAGAAAGCGCTCCCACAACCTGAAGATGAAAGATAACCTACTGCTTCGTGCACGCCAGATTTTCTCTCGCGAGCGTGCTTGTAGAGCCGGCACACGATTTCCATAGCTGCAACAATCTCTACAGGAGTGTGTGAAAACATGTTGGCAAAGCCACCGAGGATTCAATCGTGCTTGTCAATGCGAACATTCCTGTTGTTGCTCTGGTCACAGATGCTGCGATCATAGACCTTGCGTGCGGCCAGGGTAAACATGAAGCGACGTGCGAGAGGCACCTCGGGAAACGCCGATGACTGTGGAGACGCAAAACATCCTACGGCTGCTTCGAAACAAAGTGGAGTGCAGCAGCGGTGACAGTGTTCTTGCGGGCATAAGTTCAAGGAGAACTTATGCCCGCATAAAATTTAATTTGATTAAATATACGGTCAGAGTGTTCCACAATGTTCTTGTCCACCTTCAAGGCTGCTGGCACTGTTTTCTTTTTTTTTTGCTCTATTGCTTTTATCAAATTACCATTATATCGAATTTCTTGGCCGTCCCGTTCACTTCGTTATAACGAGGGATCACTATAGGGTTTTTACAGTGGATCCCAACGCCGCAACACTAGCCGAAAAAATCGCCGCCTGCACACAAAAGGTTATAAAACTTTCACCGAATGCGCATTTAAGTGGAGCATTTCACCCGGTGAAAATTCAAGGCATAGCTGCCTTACTGTGAAAAACGAGACCGAGAAACTTGCCAGGGTTCATGGCGGATGTGTTCAGAGATGACTGAGTTAGCGACGATGGTAACCTGTGCACCATTTGACCGTTGACCCACCTATGATACCGCACGCTTTAGAATGTGATGCTTGTACAGTGAATACTGCCATGTACGCCTTCCTTCGTCTCTTTATCCCCCCAGAAATATTTCTTTCGAGTAGGCGAGTGATAACGCAACGCGACTTCATGTGAACGACTTAGTATCCCCAGAAAAAGTGCTGAACCATTACCCCGTTTGACCGGCTGGCCCGCGCTCTTACTCTTCTTCCAGTTGCGATCTTACGCAGCCCCCAAATTTGAGCGCCAAAATTGCAGAGTAGAACAGCGGCTGCCAGGCCGAGGGAACGAAAGGAAGAGGGGAAGAGCACCTGTCCTTTCTCGTTGGTGCGCATCCCCAGTTCGCCGAGCTGCTTCTCCCGCATAGCCATGGCGAGGCGCTTCTTCTCGTCCCGGGTCTGCTTGCGCACCTCCTCGATCTTCTGGGCCACGTTGGGGTTCTCCTTGAGTGCCTCCATCAGGTTCTCCGCCAAAGAGCCCACGTGCTCGTCGCTCGACACCTGCTCCAGCCTGCATCCCAACAGATGCCACCAAGCGCATCTCAACAACTCGCGCGCCAAAGCAACTAGAGGCAGCACAACGAGCAACGAAGAGCATCCCTTTGCTCCCCCGTGCCACAAAGGATTCTAGAAACAGAATACTTGGCACACTTGTCCAATTTCAAACTTCCTACAACTTAGGGTTTATTTAAAGTGAAACGGAGTATGTGACTTCTAGCATTTTCGCCCCAATCTGCATGCGCGACAACCAGCCGGATAGACTGGGGATCATCATTGATTGGCTGCGTTTCGAATCTTACTCGAGCAGGTCGGAGTTACTCCGGCAGGCCACATCATGTGATAACTTAGAGAACAATGCTGGACATAAGTAGATTTTCAAATGCCAAGGCCTTTGCGCTGGATTGAGACCCATTCTCAGCTAGCAGCAGCACTCTGAGCATTCGACTTTGCTTCCAAACTCAGAGTGCACAAAAAAGAACGCAAATGTGGCTCTGTCTGGGGACCACAGAATATCACAGATTATTTGGTGAGTTGTCATGTAAGAATAGTGGATTTCAAGATTGAAGCGAATTCGAAGTGAACGGAGGTTTTGTCCGAATATTTTTGAATCAAATATCGACTAGTTTCTCCGAGCCTTTCATTACTGTTGCATCATGCTTAAACGAAAACCCAGCCGAGTTCATGAAAGTTGTTCCCAAGCTTCCACTTGCCCATTTCTAAGCTAATTCCAATCCCACTACAGGGTGTCAGTTTTTTTTTTTTTTTTCTTTGTGCAAATGTAGCCCTAACTTGTTCGAACCAGACGCCAAAGTTTCAAGACTAACCGTCATCTTACTCAAAAGTTATAACTGATTTTCGGAAATTTTCAAAGGAAAAATGGTGGCCGATAGGCCTCTTACAGGGTGGTCCAGCCAGTTTTGAGTTTGGAGCAATTTTTGGAGCAGAGAAAATCTTGTTATGAAGCACTTTTTTATTAGAAAAAATTGCTTTTTGGAGTAGCTTTGGAGCAGCACACACGGAAGTTTGAAACAATTCAGTGCAGTTCCCTATTAGTGATGCTGGCATGCATCCGTGTGATCACTTGCGGAATGCCCATTAAAAACTCAGTCAGCAATTATACCGTACTGTAGTTGGTGACAGGTTAAGGCTTCAGCGGAAGCTCCTCCCACCCCTTTCCGCTTGAGCAGAACGAGCGCTGAAGAGGAGGTGACCTCCTCTCTAAAGTTTGCTCTGCTAAAGTGGAAAGGGTGGGAGGAGCTTCCACTGAAGTCTTTACCTGTCACCAACTATAGTCATATTGCTGTGAAGATCTTATGTTTCCACTAGTGCTAATAGGCAAAGGTTAACTGGACTGATGTAAGCGTGCTAACTAACCATTGATGAGTCGACATAGAGTACCAATTTAACCACCTAGTATACGCATCTCCAAACGTTTTGCCAAAGGGACCAGATTGGGAACCTGTCACAGTCTCAAGGGCCGGAAAATAGACAAGATTACATAAATGTGGAAATACTTAATAAATATGCCTAAATAAGTAGAGGTGTGCGAATATCAAAATCTTTCGAAGCGAATCGAATCGAATAATAAAGGTTACGAATCGAATCAAATATTTTCGAATACGAATACTAGTTTCAAATAAGGAGATATTTGAAAACAAATATTTTCTATTTGATGTGAATTCAACAAGAATGCTATATAAAAAACACAACTGGAATTTTTTTTCAACAAACGTTTATGAAAAGGTTACTTTTATTGCAATAAGAAAAATGTCACACATGTGACTGTTAAAAAAAAACAGATGAAAAAAAGATCAGTCAGTAAAACACCATTCCTTGAGTGAGGTTAGAGAACGTAAATGAAAGTGCAAAAGTGAAGGCGGGTCGGCAAGCCACAACGCAGTCGGAGATCGCATCGCGGACGAAAGGAGGCACTTGAGCGTAAACGCAAGTACACAAGCGGTGGCGGGTCCGCAAGCCGCAATACAAAGTCGATGATTGCGTCTCTTCTTTGTGCTATCTCTTTTTACGATCGTGAACGCAACCACGTGAACGTAAACGGAAGTACACAAGCGGAGGCGGGTCGACAAGCCACAGCAGAGTTTCAGATTGCACAATCGAGCTGCGCAACCGCACTGACTATGCACCATCTCTTTCCGTGTGCAATAGTTCTGTCCATAGAGGGCGCCACAAAGATGCAATAAATTAAGAATATGTTGTTTTTCTGGCGGGGGGGGGGGGGGGAGTCTCACTTTTACCAGTGAAAACGGGTAGAAATAAATAACAAAAGGAATACTGGCAAACTGATGAACCAGAAAATCAAGTGGAAAATAACACAAGCCAGATATCACCGATAGCCGAGGTAAGCCATAAATCCATATCCGAATCCATAGCACCTTGGCTACTGTAGTCACTGTAGGTACGAAATCACGAATATATGGTTTTGCTACATTAAAAATTAATGTGGACAGGAACATATACAAGACGTCTCGGGCGGACGCCCGAAACGTCGTGCGGTCTGTCGCGACGATGCATGTGCCGTTGCAAACCGTAGTCCTTCATCCTATCTATCGCAGCGTTTGCGCCACAACCACTTAGCCAACTCTGCCATCCGGACATCACGGCAAGCAAAGGACAGATCGCGCTACCGCCTTGCAAATAACTTTCCAATCCTTCGTACAAAAAAAAAAAACAAAAAAAAAAACACTTATGTTGGTTGTGTAGGTTTTCCAAGCTTGAAACCATACTGCGCAGTGTAAAAACAAAACAGAGAACTCGACTGCAAGTTGACACGGATCAATGAGTTCCGCATTATTCATAGTTTTCGAATTATTCAAAGAACTCGAATAGTTCGAACAGCGAAAGGGCGAAGCGAATCGAATCGAATAGCAAGCATTATTCGCGAAGTATTCGAAGTTTCGAATATTCGCACACCCCTATAAATAAGCATTTACCATATTTTCCAGTGTATACGACACAATTTTTTTTCCAAAATTTTTAACGGTGCGTCTTATATACTAATTTTTATTAGAAAAAGGGGGGGGGTGTGCCTTATACACCAGAAAATACATATTTTCAGATGTATAAGACACCTTTTTCCAAAATTTTCGGCAGTGCGTTTTATACACAGATGCGTCTTACCGTAGAATACCGCGCATCCGCCCATTCCACATTAAGCGCCCACACCCAAATTGGTAAGATCTGAGGAAATACGCGCAGTACATTAGTATGTAAAATTGATGACCGGACAAGCGCCCATCCCTTATTTTTTTGCGATTATCTCTAAATTTTGAGTGGGCGCTTGCCCAGTATTTTACAGTATACAGTAAAACCTCGTTATAACAAAGTTGAAGGAGCGGTCGTAATTATTTCGTTATAACCATTAGTTTGTTATAGCCAATGTCAATTTCTTCCCACTATTAGCAAGCAAGGGGAATTATGATTACTTTGTTATATCCATTAGTTCGTTATATCCCATTTTGTTATAACGAGGTTTTACTGTATACTAATTTTTACTTAGAAACTTGCAAAAAGTGGGGGGGGGGGGGGGGGGGGTGTCTTATACACCGGAAAATATGGTAAATAGGAAAATTTTAACTAGAGCAAAATTTGTGCAAGCACATCCCTCTAAAACAGTGTTATGCTCTTAAGGGGGGACATGGGCCTAAATTTTTTATTTTTTTGAAAAAATTCATTTTTCAATTTTGACGTTTTCAGTTTTAGAAACTAATTATACACCCCTACACCAAATTTGATAACCATATGCCAAATATTTACGTTGATATAAAATATTTCCAACACATTGTGAGGCACTAACAAAGTAAAGGAGCTCAATGTTTGAATGCGTTTTTCTCAGTTCCACTTTTTGCTGCAAATTTCATACGAAGGAATCTTTTGTTCAAAGGTGAAAGTGTTCCGATACCACAATTAAGATGTTTCCGAACTGAAATTTACTGGGGAATCGGGCTATCTACTTTATTTTGTTTTAAGTTGAAGTCCTCAGTGATAAAAAAACTAAGTTTTCAGAAATTGACATAGGACAGATTTGCATCTCATATTTTGAGGTAATAACTCTTCCTGAAATATTTACATTTGAGTTATAAAAACTAGATAGCCTGAAGTGCCACATCCCCCACTTTATATTTTAGCAGTCAAAATGGTGCTTCATAGCTTCATTTGTATATCATAGATTTCTTAACAAAGAGTGACACATCATCTTGTGCAGGTATGTAAAGTTGTCGTGGAGAGCTGAAAGTTTGCAGAGTACACCTACATCTGACGTTAAATCTCCCCTCTAAATTTCATTCCAACCATTTGAGTAGTTAAGAAGTTCGACCTCTAGCCAGTGTCCCCCCTTAAACATGTGCACAAAAAAAAAAAAAGAAAAAAGAAAGCTTGTGTTTCCTAGTGGTGCACTTCAAAATGCAACTAGTATAAGTGTTAAAACTGCGCTGCGTTAGGAATGTCGGTAAAATTTGTGCAAAACCTGCGGAATATGCCACAGAGCCAGAAACCTGGATTGAATCGTAATGGTCGAACCACATTGGATTCCCACAGCTGCCAGACCAAAACGAAAACTCTTCCAAAAATGACCGCATCTCCACGTGGTGAATGATGTTGATTGGGGCGAAGCTCTGGTGGTGCCGATGATACTGATTTTGTTCATAGGTAGTGCTGATGGTGCTGATTTTTTATTTATTGCTTATAGGTGGTGCTGAGTTCCGGGTTGCGTTTCAACTTCATTATTATTGCTTTATGGTCGGTGAGCTGCAGAGCCAGTGATTCTTCTAGCGGATCAGCTTGGATCCGCTAGAAGCTGTGGAAATGCATCTCCACCGCTTAAGTCAACGGTCCATGTCAGAAAGAGTATGTGTGGTATGGAACGTGGTTATATACGCATTTGAGCATTTGATTGCAGCGTCCTATGTCTCTCTATGTCTCTCGTCTATAAACGAGAGATGCATGCCAATGCATGCAAAGTTTAACGCGATTACAAAATATACACAATTGACCGTAGCGCCCTCTCCTATATAAAGAATGAGCGGCTACATGCAACGTTTCACCCATGACATCCCCAGCTCTTGAGTTACTACCACATCTCAGAGCCCCCAACTAGTCCCGCAGTCGTGGCCGAGTGGTTAAGGCGATGGACTAGAAATGCATTGGGGTCTCTCCGCACAGGTTCAAATCCTGTCGACTGCGCAAACCTTTTTTTTCTTTTTTTAAGAAGACAGATTGATGGGATGGCAATCGATGTGAGCACAGACGCCGGACAAGGCTGGACCCTAAAGAGCTCCGCCCCTAAAACTGATTCGTCCACAGATTTGTTCGCTTTGGCGCAATCTTTCCCTTCGGGTGCAGCAAGGCACAGCAAGCGGAAATTTATCAAAATGGCGCTAATGGCGCAGCTGGACCACCCCTGGGCCCCTTTAACACATGCAGCTCAATGACATCAGTTACCGAAAACAGGCGAAAACGGGCCATTTTATCATTAAAATTTCAGCAAACCCCCTACAACTTTTGACTGAGATAACGGTTAGTTATGAAACTTCGGCATCTGGTTTGGACCACTAGGGTCTTGTTTGGGCGGAGAATGAGCATTCAGTGATGCATAGTTTATTTTTGAGGTAAAAAAAAACCCTGTAAATTATTTCTGGGGAAACCCTGTTTATTTGCTCAAATCTGAACTCGGGAAGTCCAATGCCTAGATTGTGATGGCAAGGAAACAATGGATTGGACATAAAATTAATGCTATAGAGATGCCCCGCTATCCCTAATCTTGCTATATGTAAATATCCATTCTTTAATCTGGAATAAAAGAAAAAAAATCTCAAAAGATCAGTACAAATTGTTGGTCATCTGGGCCTAACGTATATATACTCTTGCAATAATAGCCACAGTTTTATTTAGCAAATTTTACTGCAATGCAGGTATCAACATTGACACAGTTTCCGTTTATCTTTAAATACACCAGGTGCGTGCGTGCACCATCCCGCCTTGAAAAAGTGCTATTCTTCTATGCATGTGACTGCAATATTTTAACTTTTTTTAATGTTGCTTGCAGCAGATTGGCTCTGTTGAGCGTGCGTCTTACCAAACACCGGTGCACTGTGGAAAAGCAACACACGAGGAGCTCGCTCTTGCACCCGTGATCGGTAAGAAGAGCGCTCAAAAGGGCTAATCCGCCGCAATCGACACATTGAAAAATATTAATATCCCAGTTCATCTTGAGGCGAATATCGAATAGCGTGTTATTCAAAACTATAATTTGAAGATTTCAATATTCGCAAACACTATTAGCTAGGCAACTGTGCAATACAAAAGGTGCATCATTTTGAACTCTGACGGGGGCAGAACAAAACAGCGCTCAAAACAAGTTGTGGGAGCAGCAGCAGCACCTGTGGATGATGGGGATGCACTCGGCACTGACTAGAAGCTGGGTGGTCTCGTGGCCCCTGCTGAGGCCCGTCAGGATCCTCAGGACATACTTCAGGGCCGGCTTAGAGGTGAACTCCTTCCAGTTCTCAGAGGCAGAGAGCAACGAACTCCTGTCGGAAAAATCCACCCTCTACAGTTAGCAGACAGTTGAAATTGCGCAGAATTTGCAATCAAATCATCTCGTATGCAAAACGAGTGATGCCTTCCCAATGTTTACCTTGCCAGATGATAAGTGACCTCAAATGGGAGAGAAAGAGAGGCATGGATTGCAGTTTGTAAAACACTGATGTAAAACACAAATTTAAGACAAGCATGGGCTATACTCTGTCACCCTTAAGCTGAGACTGCAGAGGAGGCAGTGTCCTTGTTGTACCAGTCCTATGTCTCTCTTTAGCCACGATGATCACTCTCCTGCCCATAACCACGCACAGAGGGCCGGGTCAGGTGATGAGAAAGAGGCGGCTATTGGTCCGGTGGGAATGTAGCAACCACCGCGGTCTCAACTTAGGGGTGAACAGAGTACACAGTGATGTCTCGTTGATATGAACACCTCCGTTTCCCCAAAAATCGTCCATAATGTGAGTTGTCCACGATAATGAGACACAAATGTACGAATTTTCCCAGTTTGTCCTCGAAAGTGGTGTTCACATTACAGGGTATCCATATTATTGGGGTCCATATAAGCAAGACATGACCACAGTTTGAGGAACATGCCTTCAAACGAAGAGAAAAGCACGCACAAAAGGCAACCACGAAAGAAAGGAACAAGCACACACAGTGCTGCATCCATACTTCATTCTTTCATTGTCCTTTGTGTGCTCTGTTCTTATTGTTTATAACGCACGGCATACAGAGCAAAACTTATCTATTACAAATTGCCTACTAAACAAAATGTTATTAATATGCTTGAGCTGTCTGTAGGTCCATTGGCCCCAACATACATAAGCCTTGCACCAATTATAAGACATTTATATGACATATCTGACAGTAAAATAACTGAACTCTGAGTTTGACCACGTCGCGGTAAAGCTGCTACACTCCGTCTCACTGTAATTCGACACACGGCAAAGGCTACAGTACAAGAGAGCCAACCAGTGTGTCAGAGGGAGGCAAGCGACTATCCTCTGCCTTCCTATTTGTGCGCATTGCTGTCAAAATCACGGGCAAGAAAGAGAGAGAGATAAAGAGGAAAGCCGCTTATGTAAAAATTTTGAGTGGGGCTAATCCTGTAGAGGGACAAGAAGAATGTCTGGAACAAACAAAAGAAGGTCTGGGTAAGAGGGGAGTTCCTTTTCTCCAACTGCATAGGCGACAGTCTCACCCCTTAAAAGCTAAAAAGTTTAAAAGCTGTAACGTGCTTCGCCTCCGTCACTGATTGGCTCGAAGGGGTCGTAGCACTAGCTCCTTGCCAAGTTACGGTGAAGCAAAGTATAGCCATGGCAACAGCATGGCATGAACGGCCGGCACCGGTAGAGGGAAGGCGGCAGTCTCACTTGGCCGGAGGCGCATAGACAAGCAGGTAGCGGATGGCGGACTGCACGATGCCCCGCGACACCAAGAGCTGTTTGAGCCGGTTGCCGTTGTCATTGCGCTCGATGCCCGCACTCAGGTTACAGAAGCACTCCAGCTGCACGTCGTCGTCCGCCGTGTGCTCCAGGTCAAAGCGGCTAAAGTTGAGCTGCCGCTTGAAGTGCCCAATCAGGACCTCCATCTTGGCCTGCACATGTGCAAAAAGACCCGTGCCCTCTTACCGGTCTTGTCATTTTCCTCAAGGTCTGATCCGGACCTGCATCAGACTACTGCACTGACGTGCAATCCCAAGCCCACACACCCCAAGAAAGTCGTAGGCTTAACTCCTCTCCTTATTGTTCCAGTTCCAACAGTCACCTCCGTGCATGTCCCACCTACCACACACTCTTGCACCCCGCTACCCCCTCGTGCTTACCTGTCCCCTATTATACTTGTTTCCCTAGTCAGATTGCCCCTAAAGTGCTTCTTATTCTTTCATTGTGTCCTTACGCTTCCTAGCCCTCAGAAAGAATGTGCCAAGATAAACGAAGAATTAAAAATAAAAAGCTCCAGAAAAAGCAGAGCTCAACAGAAATGACGAACATTGAGATAGTAGTTAGTGCTCTGTTCTGTTTAATATGACCTAAACATATTTTTGTGTCTGTCAACATCCTTTGTTGTTATGTGAAATATAGGGGTGTGCGAATACTCGAATATACCAATTCGAATCGAATAGAAAGTTCCCGAATAATTCGATTCGCTAATCGAATTCCTAGTATTTGGTCACTCGAATATTCGATTTATTCGGCCAAAGACGCGCGGTCGGCGCGGAGCGGACAAGAAAGTTGTTTTTTATCCCAATGTAAGCGCCGTGATGTTAGGCAGACCATGCGAAAAACAGCTCTTGGTCCTACCATTCCACAAAAATCTAACGCACAGGTTAGAAAAAAGAAAAGTAACGAACGCCACAAATTTTATAGCACGCAGATCTACTCACGATCGTGACACAATCTACCCTTGAATCACAACCAAAACACCTTGTTTGCGCCGCTTCCAGAGAGAAATTGTTGGGGGGCCGGAATCCCGCGCCATGCCTAATTCTTTTCACGAGTAAAGCCCCTAGTTTCAAATTGAAGCACCAATGTAAAACACACTTGCTGCACCCACAGAAATCGGCGACTGCAAGATCACAGAAAGAAAACCACAATAACCACGCCGATGAAACCGAAACCGATGAAACCGAAGATATCGTCGCCGTTCTTTTGGAACCGCAAGCCGCAAATTCTGATTCGTAACGAAACGGAACGGAAAAATAGTGTGCCTAGATTTGAGAGGGTTTCCAACCGTTCGATAGCCGCGTTTGAATTACGAACTGCGAGAAGGTGACGAAAAGATGAAAGCGTCGATCGGGATCGGGCAGGCAGGGCAGGCGCCGTTGCCCTTCTGTTTGCTTGCCTTTTTCCCTACGACAACACAACACATGCGCACTTACGACCAATCTGCGCTGGAACCGTCTCCGTGGTTTCAGTTTCGCTTGCTCTCTCTTTTAAATCAAGGCTAGAAACAGGATACATAGATGGAAAAATGGATGCACAGCGGCAGTTGGACGGTGTCTTGCGCCACCTACCCACGTTTTTGTTTCCTTTATATGGTTATATTGTTTAAGCCTGTTTACTCAGATTTAACACCTATCTGTTTATTTATGCGAAATAAAATCCCGGGTGCCCTTTTTCTTCCTTAAAATGGAAACCAAATATCGCAAAATGCCCCTTTTCTGAGGTATACAAATATTTATACAAAAAAAGGCTTGTGTGGCTGTAACTTTGGTTTTTTTGTGACGTTTAGGGTAGACAGATTATATTTGAGCCATAAAATTGAATCTTTAGTGCCCAACATCCAACAGCAACTGCTTTTAGTTTTTTTAGCTTTTTTTTTCACCAGAATTTTTTTACATTTTAGCTTTTGTTCCGTAAAAGATGCATATTCTGAAACAGACGCATACTCTGCACATATAATAATCTCATTCGCAGCACACTTTGAAAAATTCGTACAAACAAAATCACTATTCGATATTCGATTCAATATTCGGCTTTTTTTCTTGATTCAATTCGGTATTCGATTCGAAAACTACTATACGGTATTCGCACACCCCTAGTGAAATATTTTAGTGCTGCAGCTGAACAAAACTCACTTACAGATAAAGATATGAGCCTCCATGACTTCCTCAAGTTTATCTCTCTACTCGTGATTGAGGCCTCAAAATGACACCTTCACACCTTACAGTAAAAAGCTAAATGAGGGATGCTAATTAGCTGACATCAGGACATTCAAGCTGTCAAGCCAGTTCCCTACAACTTGGAGAAGATGAAGAAAAATCCCACATGAGGCACCTTGCCTAAAGACCAACTTAGAGAATCGTTTTTGGCCTGGCAGAAAACTCTTTCCTAGTGTTCTCTTTATTTTTTCTCACACTCTTTCTTCGTCCTGGCCGTTTGTTCAATGTCTTCAATGTCTGCCAACTTGCCCAACTTGGCACTTTACCACATCCAGCGAGTCAGAGCTGTCTAAAGAAAACTGAACGCGGGACGGGGGGAACGGCGAACAAACGGTGCACAAGTTTGTGCGCGCCATTTTCCAACCATTCAACTAGCTGCACGAGTCGAGGGGCCATGCAGCGAGCGTTGGGCACCCACCTCATCGGTGAGGGTGAGGAAAGGCACGACGCGCATGAGCAGCTGGAGCAGCCGGGGACTGCCCTTGACCACGGGGGAGGCAACCTGGGCCAGCAGGAAGGTCACGTCCCCCTGGGTGACCCCCGAGGGGGCAATGGGCGGTGTGCGGGCCGCCCCCTCTGCCAGCACCGCCTCCAGCGTGCTCAGCAGCTGCTCCGCCAGCAGGGGCTCCTCCGCCTCCAGCGTCAGCCGCAAGGCCCCCAGCAGGCAGGCCATGGCTTCCAGCGAGGGCTCCAGCAGGCGCCGACGGTTGCTCTTCACCTGAGGAAGCGTGCGCCGTGACTCAAATGAGTTGCGCTCCATGTTTCGGGCAAAACGATGAAACAAAAGCTACGAGCAAACTGCTCATAACTACAAGGCTTACGAAATCGCTGAAATATTATCGAAGGCAGAAAGCTTGCTTCGGAGGCAGGTCAGAGACTCCTTCCTGCCATTTTCATACCACCAATGACAGTTAACGCCGGCTCACACAGTCCACGTTTCGAAGCGAGAAGCTTGTACTTACAGTTGTTGCTCCCCCACTACTCCGAGATAAAATGAAACTCGGTAGAATCTTGTTCATACACAATCTCCCGGCCATTCAAAAACGCCGGTCCTGATAAATTTGTAGGGGTATATGTATCGATTCCCGTTTGCCGTGTTTGCCTTCCCCGCTGTCCAAAAACTGGCAGCCAGCGCGACTCAGAGACCTGTCCGACCGAGGCTGCTCTTCCTTTTTTGCCCCGCAATTCCTCTTTTTCACCTTTTTACCTCCCTGCGCTGATTCTTGCCAGTGGCAAGAGTGACCTTGGACAAGGCTAGAAAGAAATTTTTCCATCTTTTTCTCCAGTGCACGCATTAGCATGTCTTGTACTTGGTTCCCCCATTTCTGCTAGTGCTTTGTCCCAGAAATGAGATGGGGCACTCTGTTAAAGGTGCCTCTGCAACCTGACTGCACATAGGCACTTCAAAAATATTCCCATCAGGATCACACTAAACTGGCAACTGCAGATGTTTACCATACTGTCATGTGCTCAACATTTGACTACATGAACGACTCAGAACGAGAAGCCAAATTTCCCAGAAATTAAGAGCATAATAGTAGCCCAAGACAAAACCAGACGCGCCATACCTTGACGCAGAGGCCAAAGAGCTTGAGCAGAACGGCGAGCAACGGCCTGGCGCGCACCAGGTCTTCGACGGAGGCCAGGCGTCTCAGCATGGCCTCCAGGCCCCCGCAGGAACCCATGACGTTGGCCAGCCGGTACATCTCCTCCTCGTCCACCTGCTGGCTGTCCTTGGCCTCAAGGGACTCCACAAACTCCTCGGTGGCATCGCCCAGAAGGCCCCGCATCCGGTACACCACCCGCATTGCCTCTGCCTCTCCGTTCTCGGGGCACCACACCTTACGGTAGACATCCTGCATGGGACACAGGACTGTCACAACTCATTGGACAAAAACCCTGGCACCCGTCAACTTCCCTATCACCTGAGTCTACCGAATAAACTCATGGACCAGATCCACCAACCACACCCAAACCCATCACTCAAACCTAAACCCGCCAAAAGGATCCGTCACCCGAGCCCATCAACTGGATCCATCAACTAGACCCAAAGGCGGATTTAGAGGGGGGGTCCGGATGTCCTGACCCCCCTCTTGATTTCTGCATGTGTAAAATTTAGGGTGTGAAACGAGGAAGGGGGAGGGGGCTCCTAAACATATGGTACACCTGACCCCCCCTCAGAAAATTCCTGCATCCGCCCCTGACTAGACCCATCGATCGGGCCCATCACCTCAACCCATAAACCAGATCGAGCATTTGGACACTCAATCAGACCCATCACCTGAACACATCAACTATACCCAATAACCAGACTCATCAAATCGAGCAGTCACTTGAGCCTGTCAACTGGACTTGGCAACCGACCCGTCAGGCTGACCCCACCAACTCGACGCATCAATCGGATCCATCAACAGAAGGAATGTAGGTAAGGTGCCCACTACTATTTGTTTTTTTTTTACTTACTGATCGCAAACAAAATTCGTTGACTACAGTCGCTGACCGAAAGTTGTCCAAATAATAGAGCGGTCCGAAAAATCAGATTAAAAAACTTGCCGTTATTACGTCTAAGCAGGCTTAAAAAAGTCATAAATAGTGCCTTGCTTCAGGTTACGCCTGCGCGCCTTGTTTTAAGTTACACCTCCAATTGGATTCAGCAACTTTCTGTTAGCTATAGAATCGCTACCTTCTTTGCCAACGTTATGGTCAAGTACACTCTGCGCTTCTTAGTGATACATCCCGCGGCTGAAGAACAGATGAGGTAATGACGTGCAAGCCAGTGTAGTCCAAAAACACGATTCACTGAGACGAGATCGAGATGAAAGGCGCAAGTCCATGACGGCAGTGGCGAATGAACAAAGCAAAATGGAAACAAGAATGATCACGATAACGACGTGAAGCTGCAGACAAAAAAACTTTGTCCTTCCACTCCGGTGAGGGAGGAAGACCAGCGAAGCTGTACTATGGTGGGACGACCTCAAGGACGATGCTTAGAGGACGACGTCTAGGACGACTTCAAGGACGACTCCTAGGCCGACCTCGAGGACGACGCCTAGGATGACCTCAGGGACGACGTCTAGGATGACCTCAAGGACGACGCCTAGGACGACCTCAGGGACGATGTCTAGGACGACGTTTAGGACGACCTCAAGGATGACTTCTAGGATGACCTCAAGGACAACCTCTCGGACGACCTCGCGGATGTCTTCTAGGACGACGCCAGGAGAAATTCAACATTTCTACTCTGGTGAAAACCAGACTGGAAAGGCTGGAAAGATTCCTGCCATTTATGAGCAATGGCGGCGACCAGACAACCGGCAAGCTGGAAAGATTGCTTCCATTTATGAGCAATGGCGGCGACCAGACAACCGGCAAGCTGGTTGTCTGGTTGCCACCGTTGCTCATAGATGGCGGTAGCTATCCAGAGTTTTGTGTCAACATTTATTTGGTGACGGACACGAAACTGGGGAAACTAGCCCTTAACAGCTCCGTTGTAAAAAAAGCCGTACAGTGTCACCTAGCAGTAGGACTTAGCAGTATTTAAGTAGCGCTGCAAAACCAAGCCAATCCACGCGCAGTTAACATAGAATCTAAAACGGCTGCTTCTCGATGGTGTATCCCACTGATCGCTCGCGACAATTTTGTGCGAATAATCAAACTTTCGGACTTCAAGCTGTCCGAAACATTGGTCGTGAATATGCACTATTTCTATTGGGTAGGTCACAGTTCCTCCTTTAGGTCCGAAATATCGAACAAGTCCGGATTATCGGCTCGCGAAAAATCGGTCGGCGACTGTATATGATAGAGCAGGTATGCTCAGAGGACCCCCTCTGGACTGTGATCAACGTAAACTCATGTTCTGCATTTCCACGATTCATGAGAGGTGAGAGGAGATCACTCGCCTTGACAGGGAGGTCTAGGCTCATGATCTTGTTGCAGACAAGCAGCTCCATGCCGTTGTCGTCCTCGAGCAGAGCCACGAGCTCACAGTCCTGGCAGACTTTGTTCTTGAGGTCCCGCATCAGGGGCCCCATGCCGGGTTCGTGCAAGCTGTATGGGTTGCCGAGCATCCGACCCTGCAGGAAATCCTCCTGCTGTGGGTCCTTCTCCAGGGTCACAAAGAACTCCCCGAGGTCATTCTCCTCCTGCAACAGGATACCACGAGAAAGTGTCAGGTCACTTGACTCCACACTGATTTTAACCTCAACAACATGAGCACAGAACAATTCATGACAATGAGCTCTTTCCTCCCATCTTACAAAGTAGTGGTAGTAAGATGTGGAAAGGAAAAAACTGAAACATGTAGAATGTGTGCATTGCCAAACTGACACTGCACAAATTGTCAACAGTAAGCTCTTGCTTGCCCTTCTGTCCAGTTTATCGAAACAAATTTGTTCCCTGCTTAAAATGTTGAGACAACGCTATAGAATATCACTCAGTGTCATAAGCACCTTCATTCTAATGCAGGACAGTTTGGTGATAGAAAATGCGTGGCAAATTGCAAAACCATTGCGTTGCATCCGTGAAACGTTCTAGCATCAGAGACGTTTAGCGATACTACGCGAGTTTTACATATGCAACACAATTGCCTTGATCGTTGTTCCTAGAATGAAGCAATGCTAACGCTAATCGCGCTGATAAACCTGTAAATCCTTCCAGAGCCTTCCATACTCTCCAGCTCCTCTTCCTCAATGCATACAGGTGGTGGAGCTCTTCGCTGCCTACCGAGCACCTCCTCGCCTGCCTTTCTGGTCGCGTGACCTCCCCCGCTAATCAATCAGCAACGAGTTTTGAGGCCACGCTTACCAGGCTTCACGAAATGCAGAGCAACTAGCCAAAGAATGTTTCACGTTAAAAGGACCACCATAATATCCCGAGTTCTCGCCCATCCCCGAGCAATCGCCCACCCCACTTTTTTGGCCAATATGGATTTCCAAAAAAAAAAAAAAAACCGAGTCATCACCCACCCCTTTAAATACCCCAACGCTGACTCCGTGATCCGCAAACATTCATCCTACCTGAATGACGCGGCCGCGGACCTCATAGTTGGAGGACGTCTGTGACAAAGTAAAACAAAGAAGAGAAAGACACTTCTCTTTGTTTACGCATTTCCTCCGCAAGCAACCTCAAAGTCGTGGTGTATCCGTGCAAAAAAGAAAACAATAAAGTTAAGAAAAAAAAGTCAGAAAGATAATACAAGCAGTAAGTAACCCATTCAGGGATTGCAAAGTAAGCGAACGCTCCATATCCTGGAATGTAACCGCAAAGTGTAATGTCAAAGCCTGTCTCCGCCAAAGTAAAGTCGCCGCAAACCCGCTTCTTCTCCCGGCACATCGCGACGACGGTTTGGCAATGTTCAAGACAAAGCCAACAAGTAAATAAAGCTTTGCTGGAACGCCGTACACAGACGTTTGTACAGCGTCCGATTTCGAGCTCCGTGTTCGTGGTGCCGCCCACACTACGTAGCAACGCCTCCTTAACCCGCATATTATAGCACGCCGTGCACAAACGCACGCATTTATGCACCAAACAAGAAAGTTGCGCAAGAGCTTGCGATTGGCAAGGCGCCCTACTTGGCCCAACGCCAAAGTGCCAAAGTATTTGCCAACGCGATCGCCGGCCTTTGCTCCTTCCCAACATTGCTCTTCGTCGCTTCTTTGGTCCGCTCGCTCACTCGCTTGCTTGTTGTGCCTGGTTAATTTTTCTATTTTCTTGTACATTTTTTTTTTCTTCTTTTTAATCTAACGAGGAGAAGAAAACACAGCAGTGTAATGTGCTTTCACTGAAGAAACGTTTGCGCTGTATGCCGATCGGCGGTGTTCAAGGCACGTATGCAAGCTACGGACTTCGCGATAGTAAAACGTCCTCTCATGAGCATTTTTGTGTAAAACAATAACTAATTAGAGTTTTGAGTTTAATGTATCTCTTCTGCAGCCGCGCTAAATACCCACTAAAATATGGGCGGTTTTTTTTTCCAGCTTTTTAAAACGTTTTGTGCTCATGCACCGAAACATGGCCCATTCCCCCTTTTTTTTATGAATTTCAGGTGGCAGGGACGTGGGCGATGACTCAGGATATTTTGGTAGTTATTTTAAAGGGCAACTATGCTTCATTTTTGATATTTAGAAAACTTTGCAGCCCTCTTCAGTATCATATAGGAAGACCTCATGTCAAATATTACGATCTAATTCCGTCTATATATTTAATAAACTGGCCAGCAAACTTTTAAATGAGCCAAGTCGCCCAAATCTGCCAACTCTAGCGTGCGACGTGAGGTGCAACCGTCAGCGCAGTCAATGCGACGGGGTTGGAGCGGCCAACGTTGAACCATTACGTCAGAGGCATGACTACGTCATTCTCACGTTTTGTTTGTTTTTACTTCTCAGAGCGAGATTGAACGATGACGTCATGAGTTTCTCCTCCCGCTGTTGGCTCAACGGCGTCCACATGATCGCCGTAACGCGGATGAGCTAGTTTGCGCTGCCCTGCGCGCGTATCGGTCTGTTTCTCCGCTCCCCCTCTCCTCTTTAGTCTTCTTCCCTTCCCCCTCTCCCCCGGGCCATCCCGCATCGCGTATCCTGTACCTCGCCCCCACGAACGTCACAAGACCACGTGGTTCGACGTGACGTGGCCATGACTCTGACGACTTGAGACCAATGTTGCCTGACGCAACCGAAGTTTCGGTTTCGATATCAGCTGATGTTTTAAATTAAGATTACACAAATATTATTCCGCATTTCGCAAATCCGAAGACGTACAGCTGTTTAGTAGTGCTTTGTGAAATGAAATCACATGTAAGCCTAAATTTTTCGGAATTGAGCGGAATTGCCCTTTGAAAGGCCCTTGAAAAGAAAAAAAAAATTTTTTTTAAAACAGTCTGGTTGGGACACGTGTGTCAAGAAATGAGTTTTACGGGGAAAAAAAAGAATTTTTAGAGCAATATTGACGGTGAGAGATTTATTTGAAATTTTGCGCGCAAATTCCATGTCATTCAGCTCGGCTTCCCATTGGTAACGATGGTCATTCAAATCAGCTTCTCATTGGCCAATAAAATAAGTGGCAGCTTAGATGTTGGTTATAAAATCTTTGTGATCTCTTGAAATCGCCTTTTGAATTACATAATTTTAGGTATAAGAAACAATCCATCGAATGAACGTCGTAAATGATTATAAACGTTTCACAAAATCGTAACTTCCGTTCAAATGCCACAACAAACAAAAGCTTCGCTGTTTTTTTTTTTTTTGTCATGGCCGCCGTCTTGTAATGCGTCTCGCGCACCTCTGTACCTCGGGTGGTTTTATAGTTTTATCGCGTTTATATGTGAAGACCTCCTGAAGAGGGCTTGTTGCTTGTGTTAGTTAGTAATCATAGGTATTTAGGAAGTGGCATGAGGTGACAGGTTTGTTTTTCTGATCTTCTTTGCGTGATTTGTGTCCCATTTACCCCATCTTTTGTTTGTTTGCTGCCGCGCCAGTGCCTCTTCGCGAGCGGTTGTCTCGCAGCGATCGGAGCGGACGCCTTCCGGCTGGCGAGGTGTGTCCACGTACGGGCGAAGGCCCAGCTGCTGGCAGCGTTGAAGCAACCGACGCTTCAGGTCGGGGTCCATCGCGATGACTACGTACTGTGTGTATGGTGTTCCACCACGGTGACCACTTTACGACGCGGTACAACGTGCGACCGGCAGACACAGGGGTTTGTGTTCCAAATCTTACCCAAATGGATCCGAGTTACTCCGGCGGATCGTATCACATGACAGCACAGATTGAAAAATGCTGGACGCGGGGAGGTTTTAGAACGCCAAGGGTACAAAACCCTTACCCTGGGGTAAGATAGAGTAAATTTTGGAACACGGCCAGGAAGTAGCAATGGCTCTTGTATGGAGTGCAGCCAAGCCAGCCAAGCAGCCAAGCCAATCCACTACGAAGAGGTGGGGAGTACCTCTCCACCACGCGCCCGAAATGCCGAGAGAAAACAAGTGGAAAGGAGGTGACTAACGACTAAATTGAGTCAGGTGCAGTCAATATTGCTCTAAAAAAATTTTTTTGGGACACACTCCCTAGGGGGGTCAACTTTTGAACCCTTGTCTTAGAATCAATGAAATTTACAGGGAAGGCTGATGGTCATGCTAGAGGCTGTATAACAAAATTTCAGGTCTGTCGGTTATATGAGAAGGAAATTAGAGTAGCTTGTATTAGAAACATGCCTACATTGTTTAGATAATCTATCGTCAAAAAACTATCACAATATTTAATATTTTTATTTGCTAGATATGTATCAGAATGCCTAAAGGCTGCGGCTATGGAACGTTTTTTCTAAAAAGTCATTTATTTCTATAACTTTTGTCTTCTGCGAAATTGGTCAACTTTTTGGTCTTCTGTGTCTTCAACAAAATGTTCAAATCTTTTATAAAAGAAATCCTCAAAGTGACAAAAAAGTTCCATAGCCGCATTCCTTATTAAATTTCAGTCAGGAAAAGGGAAGAATGAGCCTCCCCTGTTTTGCCATTATCAGACGATAGATTGACTAAAATGGAATTTATACCAAAAAGTGGAACGGAGGAAAATGCGTTCAAAGTACTCCAAACCCTACCTTTTCTTTAGCTTTGGTGGACAGAAAATAATTTATAAAAAATTAACTATGCAGTGTAAATTAATTAAACTTTTTTGGGGTACTCTCTAGATGTTGGTGGACGTAAGTATGTCGTTTTTCAAAATCAACATTTTTTGCAAAATTTTTTTTTTTCTGGGCATTGTCTCCTTTTAATATGTGTGTCCCCAATCAGACTGTTTAAAAAAAAACTTTTTTTTTTCTTTTCAGGGGTCCTTTAAGCAGCTAAGCAGGACATAACTGCAGTAATAATGTACAAAATAATAAAGTTGTGATGGTACAATTTACTGACAAAGCTGATTAAAGTAGAAAGGATAAAATTTTGTAAAAGTGTTACATGCTCTAGTTGACAAGTATTACAGTGCAAGTGTGAGAGCAGAGTGTAGCAGTGTATGACCAGAAGAGGTACACTAGAGATCAATGTTCAGTCAGGAAAGATGAGCACTTACAGGGTAGATCAAAGAACACAGCCTTTCAAAAATGAAGACTGGTGTCCTAAAGTCCTCAAGGCCATACTTCTCCACCGTTTCCACACATACGGCCATAAAAGATTCTGTCTCGGATTCCGTCCCTGCAAAGAGAAACAGTTGCACATTAACAAACATATGTTCATGGTCAATCAGTGTGGTGACAGAAACTGCCAAACTCTAACAATGCCCAGAGCACATCACGCTCTGTAAAAATTGTAGACATTGACATGTGACTATAATGATTACCGGGCATCAGCAAGCTAAAAAACAGTCAAAAGCTCATTCTGACGAGCTGAGGAAGTTAACTCTCCTTGACTTTCTGTGACAGTTAGCATGTAGAAGAACATATGTGCACATGTCCTATATTATTAGGAGCTATAAGGATAATGTCTAGTAGCTAAATAAAGAAACATTTAATACTGCCTTTAATAACTCGCTTGCTCTGAAGTGCTACAAGATCACCAGGCCAAATGCTGTTTCATAAAATCCATCTGACTCGTTGACAAGTTCAAATGGCCTGCTATTAAACTGACCTGCATGCCTATCATTGTTCTTTTGATGTCACACGATTACATACCAGCTTAATAAATATTCAGCCCTTCCAAGCTCAGGCTTTCAATCTCTTTGGCAAACATGCACCGTACCAAAAGCTTGCAAAATATCTTGAGGTTTATGGTCTCAGAACAGCTTGCATTCACTGGCCCCCACAATGAACCTAAAAAACCAGACAAGCAACCTCACCTGTGGTCATCTCTTCAAGCAGGTTGAGCAGCTTCTCCTGTGTTTCGTCGACCAGCTTTGTCCTCTGCACAACCAACTTGCGCAGAGACAGGTAGCCGTTCAGCACGCAGCCCACCAGGCGAGACTTGTAGTGCTGCCGTATTGAGTCAACCTCGATGAAGGAGGCCAGCAGTTCGGTCAGCATCTTCAGGGCAAAACCTGTCGGGGAAGAGATGCGTCACAGAAAAACCCGACAGCCCAGGTCTGACGTAGAAACCTACTTGCTTTCTACAAAAAAAGAAACACGTAATCAAAAAAACAATTGAGCACCTGCATAGGATAACAAATGGCTAAATGCACCACAATGAAAACCCCACTTGTACAAAGGAAGAAAACAGCACAAACTTTTGCACATTAATATAAGGTTTCAGTATGAACAAGAAACAATCAATGTGGCTGTTCAGGGGTAATGCAGGCCTTGAAAACCGAAAAATTGTGAACAAGTCAATCTTTAAAAAAACACTTTTTGGGTTGTATATTTCATAAACCACCTCTGTGATTAACAGAAAAATATTTACGAGTTCTCGGCGGCTTTTAAATCTGTTTCAAGCCGCAAACTCGAACCGGACTTTGAGCCATCGCCACTCCCGTTCAAGCTGGCGGACGGCCGCCATCTTAAATGTCTTTTTCTTCTTTTAGCCGCCCTTCAAAATGCTGCTCACAGCGTAGTTTTGGCACGATCGGCGTTTTCTCGCCTCGCAATTGCACAGCCGTCATTGGCCAAAGTGTGCGCTCAAAGGAGCGCATGGCTATTATTGTTTGTGACGCTTATAAAAATACAGTGAGTGATCATCTAGGCCAGGGGTTCTCAAACTTTTTCATCCCAGAAAACCCCAGCAAGCCTCAAAAAGACCCAAGGAACCCTCCCTCCCCCTTGTTGCCAACTGATAATACTAGGCAATAATGCCATTTTTAGATAGTGAACAAGAGTTTATTGCACTGACAAAATAAGACAAAATGGAGGACTACAGACAGAATAAGAAGGCAGTGGGGTTAACCTGAGGCACAATGTAAAATATATACACATATTAGTGTGAACGGTGAGGCTGCTTTGTCCGCAACACAAACTCAATCTATGGCTCAGTCTGTGGATGGTTAAACTAAGTTGTGGGGGGGGGGGGGGGGGGGAACCGCAATTTGGGTGCTTGCAGAACCCATGAGACCAGCTCGGGAAACCCGTGTTCTAGGCTGTGATGGAAGTGCAAGCAACAAACATGCCCAACACTAGAAATGTACTGATAAAGGTGCAAAGCAAACAAGGAGCACCTGCCTGTTTGAAGATGAATCAAAAAATAGACTTGTAATACACCGAACAGTAATATAGTCCGTTGCAACTCAAGAAGGCAGGGCGAGGGAAAGGAAGGCCAGGGAGGAGGAAGCTGACGGAACGCTGGAGAGGTGAGGGGGAAACCTCCTCCTCACCTTCTTGAGTTGCAACGGACTATAGCAATGCGCAAAACCGAGGAATGGCAGAACTAAAAAAATTGAGCAGTCCTGTGTTAATCTTACAGTCACAAAGAAAGCTGCAACAATTCACAGCAAAGTTGTTAGGCGCTGGCGTTGCATTCATGCATTGTGGGATGCATGAAAAAAAGCGTTCGGACCAAAATAAACATCTGACCATTTTGTTCCGAACGCTTTTCTCTTTTGTACCAAAGCATGTAAAAGCGTATCTCCCGGCATGAGCTCTTGGCATTGACAATGCTACAACAGCATTTTGTTATTTCTTTTTTTTCTCCAGAGAGCGCATGCAGTGGGCATCGGGTGCCACAAGAACCCCAAGTATAGAGCGGGTTCTTAAGGCCGTAGCGTAGCTCGGTGATAACGCCTCCACTTTGCACGCAGCAGAACCAGGTTCAATTCCCGCGGGCGGCGGGCAATCTTTTTCGGGGACTTGACAACATCGACGACGGATGCCCTACATTGCTAACTACAACATCAACAACAACTACTACATCGACAACAAACGTCATTTCCAGTGGTGGGAAAAGCCCATAGCAGCCATCGCTCTAAAAGCGCACAATCAATGTTGCGACTAAGGGGGAGCACGAGTAGGCTATAGAGACAAGACTAGCCTACCCTGCGAGAGGTCTGCATTGAGTGTGGTCTCTTCGAGCAGGCTGAGCTGCTGGATCTCGGCCGTGATGAGCTCTCCCAGGTGGGGCAGCAGCCCCTTCAGGGCAAGGTAGTGCTTCCAGTGGTCGGGACCGATCAGGCTCTGGTACAGAGAGAGGAACTTGGCCCCGCTCTCCCCAGCAGTGCCTAGGTCGTCCAGGTACGTCGTCAGGAGGTCGAGCACTTCCCTGCAGCGCGATGGAACCTGCACGCGACATGGGACAGCACTGTTAGGAAGCGAAACGAGCAGCGTAAGTAAAAGTAGGGGTGCTGCGCACCTTCTTAAAAACACTCTTTTTTCTTGTACTTTCATGTACATTCTCTGACAGGGTAGAATTTCAACTATCTACGCAACGATTTCGACGTCCTTGTTCAACGTCATGTTGTAACACAATTTCAATGCCTTCCCGAATAACTGTTTTTTTTTTTTTTTTTCTTTTTATGGCTGTTTTGTGAAAGATATGTTAATGGGGTTCTACTCTTTAGGTACAAAAGGTCTTGTTCAGATAAGAAGACAGAAAATGGCTACATTTTGCTTAGTGGGCAAAAGGAGGGGGGGTAGAAGGTCAAAAACCTGGTTTTCGGTACGAAAATTAGAAAATATACACCTTTTTAAGAAAAACTCGGCCCCAAAAACAAGAGAACCTTTTTCGAGCCCAGACCCTGGGTTTCAGGTGCAATTTCAAACACTGCTAGCAGCTAAATTCTTGTCTTTTCCCATCCCACCATCTTTTGCCTTTCATTGTCTATGTATTTTTCCGAAGACACTGAGAAAGCATTGTAGCACATTTGAAACAAACAAAACTATATTTTTGTTGGGTATGCGCGACAGGACGAATGCAACTGGAATGTTTGTTTTATTTCACAATAAGCCCTGTTGGCGCCACCCACTCAGCTGCATGTCAAACGACAAAGCACTTAGCAGAAAAGGAACAGCTAAAACGGGTCCTGTAGCATTTCTTGGAACAGAAAAATTGGTGATTTGGAGCAGCTTACCAGCTGAAAATCCACATTTTTGAGCAGCTTACGAGCAGAAAAATTCACATTTCAAAGCAACCTAGAGAAAAAAAAAAATTGGAGCACAAGTCCTAGGTAAAAACCGGAGGCGTGCGGTTTAGAAAACCTCAACTTAGCAAACACATTTTTTTTTTTTTTTCTCACTCCAGTTTATTGATTTGCCTCATATAGACGCTCAGTTTAGAGGAAATGACGATGAGCCTGCGTTTAGCGAATTCATCCACGGTTACCATTTTTGTAATGAGCCGCCGCAGACCGTCACCGCGAAGTGGCATAAATGGGGTGGCCAAGTGAGCCAACGCGCGCCCCGGTGATACAAGCAGCAAGTCGCCTTTTTCTAAGCAGCAAGTCACCTTTTCAATAATTGTCCTTTCTGTAAATTAAGGCTCTGCTTTCTATAAACAAAACTTCGTTAACATGTGCCCATTCTCTTAAACGTGTTTCAATGAGGTGGCGTTCAATTAACCGTAGTAGACCCGACAAAAACACGTGTCACTACAAAAACCAAAGTAGAACACGCGTGCTATGAAAACTCGTTGGATGGGTGAATTGGGAAAACAAATATTGTATTAGCAAAAAAGTTACGAGCAGCCCATGCATGCTGTGGTGAACTCGAACGCTTCACTTGCTGTGAAAGATTGTAGCATATTTTCATAATAAAGTTCTCAATAACAATGGCGCCGTCATTTTGGCAAATAGCGGTATTTAACGGCAGTTTTACGAGTCTTACATTCTGGATTAAATAAAGACTTATGTTTGCTCATCTTAAGTATGCCACGACTGCCAAGATCCATAGCTTCAGTCCGAAAGTAGTTGCAGAGAACAGAAGTCTGGAAATTCGCTCAAGAAGAATGGGCATGCAAGAGGCAATTGGAAAAAAAGAGAAACAATGGCTGTGTTTCTCTTTTTTTTTTAACAGGCGGCAACTTGCGCCATTTAGTCTAAGACGAAACAGTCATTAAGGGTCACCAACAAAATTTTTATTTTTCACTAAATTTGGTGGTTTTGCGCATTTCAGTAGGTTTTGAGGTATTTTGACACAGTTTGGCGCAATTTTGAATAATTTAACACTTTTGGTGCAACCAGGTGCAGAGTATTCCGTGTGTATCAAAATGGCACAATTGGCGCAGCCATCCCATCCCACCCCTGGCTTAGCTGACGCAATAGATAGCCGAAAGGCACGCATATTTCACACGCACAAATAATGTGTGTACCGATATACGGGACTCGGATGTACAATTTAGCGGGTGTTAACATTTAAACAATATATTGTATGTACCGCACGGTGTAACACTATCCGAAAAGGATTTACTAGAGAAAGATCTCAAATAAACAGCACTAGTGTCGACGACAGTCACATCTTGGACATCGGATATGATTCAAGAAGACTTCTATTTAGGGTACCGTTTCGGGGCCACTTGGCACCTTCAAATGTTTTGGTCACACTCAGGCACGCCCGAGGGTGACCAAAACAGCTGTTGACACCAAGTCGGCTCTTCTTTTCGTCCAATAACATCTCTTGGTTTTGGTTATCGTTAGGGGCGTGTCCCTCCAGACTTCTAGCTTCACATCCGGTGGCCTCATGTCGCCTCAAAAAGCTTCCCGCCCCCATGACCGGCTACAATTTCAAGAAGCGTCGAGCCAGGCCCGAGGGCCGTGACTTTGAAACGCAGCTCGTCAGGTGGCACCGACAACACCCACCTGGCAGAGGGCCTCGACGAGGGAGCAGGCGACGGTGCGTGCCTGCCTGCAGGACGGGTTGAAGAGCACCTGCCGTAGCCAGCCAGGGGCCTGCTGCTGGTCGTGCAGCAGCAGCAGGGGCTGCAGGGGCTGGCCCCGCACCCGCTGCCGCCAGCGTAAGCCGTACTTCTCCATCAGGAAGCGGGCTCGCACGTCCTCCCGCCGCAGCCGCTTGCCACCCCCGAGAGACAGCGTGTCAGCGGGGCGTCCCAAACAGCGCCCCTTCCACGCCGCGTAGCTTTGGCTCGCGTCTTCCGCCAGCCAGCCGCGCAGGTCCACGCTCACCGACATCCCTTACAGGGAGGGAACGAAGAGTGGTGGGAACCGGTGAAGCACAAAATACTTCATTGGCTTTCAGATTATTCGAAGAAAGTGTGTCGTACGGCCAATCTCTAGCAAGGACGCCAGAGATTGACCGTGTGAAACGTCTTTTGCATGGCGAGTAGAAAATGTTATGCCCATAACAAAGCACGAGTCTCATTTGATCACTGCTGTAGAAACTACTCAGAGCATCCTAGCACCGTGGTCAAAGTACTTAGACCTTTTGCTAAATTACACGAGCACCAAAGAGTGTGCAGCGAGTGGTTATGTGCACCGCACATGCTGGCATCTGCAGCAGTAACTGTTCGAAAACAACAATCTAAAACAAACGGCACTTCTAATGTAATGCTTTATTTAGGTTACTTACTTTGAATCTTTTAAGCAAAGAAAGCAAGCATGTGCAGTGCACATACCTACATTCCCAGCATGCTCCTTGGTGCTTGGGTAAATTGGTGAATGGTCTACTGGTAGCCTACTGATAACATCCATGACATATTCTGGAACCCAAGCTTCATATATTTTTAAAAGGTTCATACATTCCTGGTGGCAGTTCAAAGAATATTGCACTTCCTTTGAGGAGAACTATGTTTTCCCGAGGGAAGTCGAGAATGGAACTGGCACACAATGCCTCCGCTATCCGAGATTACCTGAAGGGCGGACGCTTGCGAGTTCTTCGATGGATTTGTCCTTGTTGCGTTTGGTGACCGGGGACTCTGGTTTGATCACAGCCTGCAGGATCTTGAGGCAGGGGAGCGTGATGCTCTCCAACACCACGGGGCTCTGGGAAGTGACGCCCATCAGGAAGAGCCGCATCACGCATCTGCAACAGATGTGTGGAAGTTTTGGATGGGTTCCATTACCTTGATGAATGTAGAAAATCTCTTACCACATTAGCAGTCATGTTAAACTAATGTTTATACTCCATACCTTTTTCTCATGGAAAGGGGGGACGGACAACGACGTTGTCCGTCCCCCCTTTCTATGTATCTTCCTCATGTCTAATTACAGTTACCAACACGCTCGTTTTGTACTTAACCTTTTTCTCCTGTCTAGATCCCAATACCCAAGTGTCCTCATGTCGATCCAAATTATCGATCTGTTACTTGCCGACATTACTGTCCAAGAGATGTTAACCATAAAATTTTGAAAACATTACAATATAAAACAGAACCTCATAACTTTCCCTAGCTTTCAAGGCAGCATTCTGAAATCACATGCACATTTAGTTTACTTTTATATCTACCTCATTTAGTAATCTACTCAAACCTAACCCTTTTAGTTTTAGAACCACAACCAGGCTGAGTTAAGTTTATAATGAAAAAAAAAAAAAACTGAGACTGGGAACAGATAAAAAAAGTTTGTTCCTTAACAAAATGAAAGCCGTTTACAACTCCCTGTAATGCCGGATTAGAGCGCAGCTCTTGAGGAGGAGGATGGAAGGGTATTGAGGGACAGGTGACTCCCTGACGTCACGTGACCTCGGGGGGGGGGGGGTCACGTGACCTGAGGGGGTCCCGTGACCTGAGGGGGGTCAGGTGACATCAGTGGTCGCGTGACATCAGGGGGTAACCCTCATGGCCCTTGTGAGGGTAACCCTCATGACCTTCGTGAGGGTAACCCCCATGAGGATAACCTTAGTAACCCTTGTGAGGGTAACTCTCATTATCCTCATGAAGGCAACTCTCATAAACCTCGTGAGGGTAACTCTCAAAACCCTCGTGAGAGTAACCTTTTGAGGGTAACTAACCCTCGTAGCCCTCGTGAGGGTTACGAAAGTTACCAGGGTTACTCTCACGAGGGTTACGAGGGCGATCCTCGTGAGGGCGACCCTCGTAAGAGTAACCCTCATAACTCCTGTAACCCTCACGAGGGTTACGTGCGGTTACGCCGACGGCGACGCCAACGCCGCTCAAGCCGGAAACGGGCGCCTAAGAGCCGCGTTATAAAAAGCTCGATGTACACCTAAGCACTTCTTATGAGTCGTGAATGTGAAAGCATGCAAGCCACTCTTCCGCTCCCTTTGTCGTCTGCTGCATACTTTTCGTCGCCAGTCAGCGCGCATGCTCCCCTGGTGACCTTGGATGCATACCCTGATGGAAACGCAGCGCCATGGGGTGAGCGGTCATGGAAACTGACAAGCGCAGCGGCCAATGGAAGCCCCGTCGACGCGCGCCAGCCAATGGAATCAAAGGCGAAATCGCGGACACTACCTGCCATTTTCGAGCTTCAAACTGATGACGTCAGCTCGCTCCATGGGACAGTTAATACTTTTGCATAAAAAATAGACAAGAACAGATAAAAAAAAACGGATAAGTTAGTTTGCCAGTTTTTTCACTTTCATGAGTTAAAGGGGCACTGACAGATCAAAATTATATTTTTTTTTATTATCCAAAACGATTGAAAACGATGCCGGGACATTACCCTCAAAATTTGAAACTTGGGAATTCCGTATTTGTGAAGTAAAAAAACAATGTCCAAATGCAGAATTCGAAGTTCCCGCACGATCCGCGCCAGTGCAGCGACGTCAAATTTTGCGGTCTCCTGTGAGTTGACTTTCTCTCGGACCTCCGCTCCATGCTACAAAGCAAAGCGCCGTTGCCATCGCGACCTGAAGCGCCGGCGGACTGGGAAAAAACCGGTTTCTTCATCCGAACCCCGACTCACTGATAATCCTCTGCTCGAGCGCCGCCAAGTTTTCCGAGGGAGGGTACAAATCCAGGAAGCAACATCACACTGGACTGATTTTTGGTATTTCAAAAAGAGGGGCTGTAGTGCGTTTGCAATTGCGAAAAAAACATGTTTTACGATTGCCGTTATTAAAAGTTATAGCCTAGAAAGCTTCTAAATTTCATGATTTTTGACATCACCAATCAAAAGAAGCGAGGACGTGAAAAGCGGGAGAGAAAAGCGCCAAGAATAAAAAGGCGCTCGCACGCAAGAAAATATCTTTTTGCGATGCGATTGTTTTTGCGTGTCTATGACTACAACATGCATCGTTTTAGACAATAAAAAAAAATATGACCTATACGAAGTGAAAATATTAAGTGTATATTAGACTAAATCCTGTCTGAAAATTCACCTTGAGGAACTGGTAGACACCAAACATGCCCTCATGCTGTTCTTTGCCCTCATCCCCAAATTATCCTCTCATTAAATTTTTTCCTCCAGAGCTGTCACCAAACGTAACAAATAAGGTTACGTTCAACAACTCCTGAAATTCCTTCATACAGATGTTGTTTACCGCACTAGACCCACCATCTATCCTGCCAAGTGGACCTGTCAACCGGACCAGTCAACTGAACCCATCATCTCAACTTGACCTACTGGTGTCAATCAGACCTGTCAACTAAACCCCCCAACTGAACCCATCAACTGAACCCGCCAACTGTACCCATGAACTGGACCATAAACTGTACCCGCCAAGCAGACCCATCAAGGACTCGTCTACCCGACCAATCAAGTGAACCCCCTCCAACTGGATCCATCAATCGACCCATCAAGTGAACACCCCAGCCACACTCAACCACACCTGTCAACCAGACCCATCAAGTGGACATCTTTACCAGACCTGTCAACTACACCCTTCAACATGGCAATCAGCCCTAAAGCAATTTGAACCCCGTGGCAGGTACTGACCGTAGTCGCTGCTCCCAGCAGGAGTCCTCTTTCTGAAGGGACAGTGCCAAAAGAGCCACCTCGTGGCGCACTGCAGAAGGTAGGTCCGGGCTACCCACAATGGCTAGTGGCTCGGGCCTCTTTGGCGGGGCGGTTGTGGAAGAGGTGGAGGCTGACGTGGATGCAATGGAGGGAAGCTGTTGCTGCCGTGGTGAGCGTCGAGAGGAGGAACCCCTCAGCAGCGCCAGGGAGATGCGCTCCATCAGCAGGGCGTTCAGGTGGTTTGTGGCAACCAGGTTGTCCCTGGTGAGCAAGCACACTAGGTGGCCCACCTGGACCCAGCCCTGGCGGAGGTTGTGCTCCACGAGCTCTCCAATAAGACCTTCCTCACACAGCAGCTGCCTGCGGATGGGAAAGACAGCCGGTAATTTATAGACAGGAGCGGGGACTGACTTCTGGGTGGGATAGAACCAAATAAGAATTGAATAGTCCGTTTTGGGAAAACTTAATTTCAAGACTGGCTATCCCATATCTGATTTGAATAAAAACCAAGTCTCTTTCAATGGCACTACTGAATGGTACATTGCATATTAGAACCATGTTCGAAGTTTTAAATATTTTCACAAATTAAAAAACATAAAACAAATTATTACACAACCCTAACTGCACTTTACAAGCTAGAGTGACTTATTGACTGCCAAGAGTGACAACAAATTTGGTGGCACAAAATTGGTGGAATGCACCTCTCAGCCTCAAAACAAAAGCAATGCAAAACTACAGCATTTCTATGATGGAGGCACAGACACAGTAGACATTGATTTAATGCAGTACTGTTGCACCCACTTATAACAAAATCGGCTATAACAAGATAAAGTGATCACGATTTTACCAACCTGTTTGCACTTTTTTAATGTATTTGTGTCTGTTTTTAGCGAAGGAAATTGAGCGGCTCGAGAGGATATAGTGAAAAAAATATTTTGTGATAATTTAAAAATTATTAACTTGCAAAAATATAAAAAGTTTTTTTTTTTTTTTTAAAGATTACATGTTTTAAAACGCACCTCGTGTTATATTCGGAATTGAGTTCAGCCACAAGGTGCGCAAGTCTAGAGAATACCATCCCTCCGGCTCAATGCAGGAGATTGGGTGGGAAAAGAAGTGGAAGTGTGAGGGGGCATCTGCGCATTTTTTAGTTTCTGCTCCAGAGTGGTTTGGTGTTTGTGTGTTGGTGCTTCTGCTGCGTGCCTTGCTTTGCTTGTGGGCTGCCGAGGAGCTCCCATGAAAGAAAAAGGAACTACCAGACAAGCGGTACTGTGCTGCTGCATATTTGCAAAGCAGCCAAATGGATTGCAAACAGAAGGACCTGAGCAGTGAGGATGAGTGCAGTCAAAACATGAACTGATATTACTTCTATTTCCATTGCCTTTTCACTTCTGCTATGCCCCAAATGTGAAAGATTTATGCGGCCTCAACTCGCATTATAATAGTATTTTTTTTTTAAACATATTAAAACCTGTTTTTGCGTTATATTCGGGGTCGCGTTATATTCGTGCAAATACAATAATCAAAAAGTTACAGACCACTGCGCTTCGCTGCTGCAACCGAAAAGCCACCCAGCACATGCAGCAGACAATGCTGCAAAAGCCGCTGGCAGCGGCCTCTGCATCGCCGTCTGCTCAGAGTGCTAACGAGAATATACCGACGAAGAAAGCCTAGATTTAAGAGAGGGAGCTACTCCAATCATGAGAAGCATTTGCAATTTAATGGCAGACGCCTCCTGGGCAGATTGGCACAAGTGTGCCTGCGTTGGGTTGTTGCGTGGCCAATGTGGCAAGGAAACCGGGCAGAGGAGAGGAGGCATTTGCAGACTATGAAAGCTTTCGACTCCTTGCAGGATGCGGCTCGGTATGAAAACGCGGCCCACAATCCATGTGACCACGACCGAGCAGTTGCTCTCTCTCTAAAGGCGCGTTCACACTGGAGCGGATCCACAAGCGCAAGGCAGATCCGCGCATTCTCAACCGCAAAGCGGCTGGGATCGAGCGGTTGGAGTACTTTTTGCCAACCGCTTCGGGACAGATACAGTCGCCAATCGTTTTTTCAGACTCCGATAATTCGGACTTGTTCGATATTTTGGACCTAAAGGAGGAACCGCGACTTACCACATAGAAATAGCGCATATTCACGACCAGTATTTCGGACAGTTTGAAGTCCGAAAGTCGGACAAAATCGTCGCGAGCGGTCAGTAGCAAACACTGCCGAGAAGTGGCCATTTTGAATTCTATGTTGGCTTCAAATGGATTGGCTTAGTTTGGCAGCGCTACTTGAGTACTCCTGAGTCCTATCGCTAGGTGACGCTATGCTAACCCTTTTTTTTTTTTTTTTTTCATTTAGCTGTTTATCATCATTATCATTTTGCTTTATTTCCTTCCATTCTTCCATCCCTTCGCGCCTCCGCCCCACTTTCGCGTCGCCAGCATCGCCAGTCGCTATTTTGCGCTCCTGGATTTGCACCTCTCATCTTGTTCGAACAACGCTGACTTGGACATCACGGCCCCATCCGCTGTTCTGCCGCCGCGATGTGTCGTTAAGAAGCGCAGAAAGTACTCGACTGTAACGCTAGTAAAGAAGGCAGCGTTTCAGAAGCTAACAGAAAGGTGCCGAACGCAAACGGAGGTGTAACCTGAAGCAAGGCACTATTTACGGCTTTTTTAAGCCCACTTGGAAGTAATAAAGGCAAGTTTTTCAATCTGCTGGTTTTTCGGACTGCTCTATTATTTGGACGTTTTTTCGGTTCCTGTGAAGTATGAATAATTGGTCGGCGACCGTATCTCCCAACCGCTTTCACGAACTGCAAAGCGGCAACCAATCACAACACGACGCTGACGTGACGTCAGTGATTTTCTAAACAAGCTGGCACCTGTCGCTGGTGAGGCGTCCAAGGCGCTGTAGTCCTAGCGTTACAACAGACAAATCAACGAAGAAATGGGATGTTCACAACCGTCGCTTGAATCTGTCGCGAAACGAATTGACTCATAATCTTAACAGGCTTCGCACCAATAATTTGGTTCGGGTAAGAATTTTCTTTATTATTCCGGGTGCCACAGCCCGAAGCTCGCTGTTTTGCTAGTCTCTGCCCGTAGAACGTTGGAACCTGCCCCTGATCTGCCAAAATGTCAGCTTTTGTACCCACTAAAACAGTCATGTTAACTACTGGAAGCTTTTGACACCGTGCATGACCACCAAGAAAACTGATAGAGACGTCGTGAGCCTGATTGCGCAGTCAAGGCACTACCATAGGGCTGGCAGGGTACCTGCGCTAGCCCGACCTGCAACGTTTATTACTAACAAAAGAAAATAAAGGGAACATACTCAAGAAATAAAGCGTACGTACCAGACGATGCAGAAATAATCCATACGGCGTTTATTTGAGCTTAATGTAAAACAAACAGTAGATTCGACTGTCTCGATTGACAAGAGGAGAGTCCACCACCAACGAAGCCAAGACTGGCTAGCACCGAACACATTCCCCGCACCACGGTCCACCCCATCGCTCACAACTTTGAAAATGATAAGAGCGAACAACTAGGGAAGAAAACTGTCCCTCTTTCCCGAAAACAAGGTCAGCTATTCACGTGGGAAGGGTCCACTTCGAAGAAAAGGTTGAGGGCATCCTGTTCTGAGTCAGCAACGCGCGCCTCGCTAGGCTTGGCTTGTAGGCGAAGTCGGGGAAATGACAAGCAAGTTTTGCGCGTCCATGCCTCTTTTTTCGCTGCTTCAACTTGTGATGCGTGCGAACATCCCGAAGAAAAATCTTCAGAGATTCTAAAAATAGCAAAATTTTGGCTTTGGATCATGAATTAAAGTGGGTTCTGGATTTTAAAACAGGGTTGCCAAACGCAAGTCTCAAAAGATCATGCGTGATCGCCGAGAAACCACCAACCGCGTCTCGGTGTGTCTGAACGGGGTCGCTCGCGAACTGCATCCGCAACTGCTTTGCAAACACGGATCCGCTTCCAGTGTGAATGCGCCATTAAATCTATTCTCTCAACACCAACGAAATGAAACGAGTTTTATCGTTTGCTTTGTGTTCCATGTCAGCGTTGCTGGTCAACATGGTCGCTCTCTGTGCAAAAGTTTTCCCTGCTGCAGTCTTCTTGAAACAAAAGCGTGCCATCCTTGACGAAGAACGCACATAAACGTAAGGAACGCCATCCACCGCTACTGTCCTCCACGGCAGCCATCGCAGCTATCAACACGGTTCGTACACAGCTCGCAGGATCAGAACTTCTCGCAGTTGGCGAAAAGCAGCTCCTATCTAGCAGAAAGTGCGTGCAGGGAAGCCTCCATTGCTTTCTGTAGGCACAATAAACATGTGCCCATGATGGCCCGTATTATCTTTTCTTTGCATGTTACTTTTATAGAGGCCAGATATAACGAAGAAGCAGATACGTATAGCCAACTGATTTCTGATTACCGTTGACTTCGTTATGACTTCTCGACAGTAGTTATTTTCAACAGGTGCACATTACCTATAAGGGACGCTGGTGGCCAATGCACGAAGAAGAGTGATGCAGTGGTCTACTGCTGCACTGGCACATCCATAGCATTTCCCGGACGATTGCTTGTTTGTGGCAGGCGCTCCCAGGGTGCCCAGATGCTGCTCGCTTCTGAGCGGCTGCACGGCTGTCCCTTGGGACTTCCTGCGGTCCCGCTGCTTGTGCTCATACTCCACCAGCTCCTTTCTCGAGGCCAGAACCTGTGTACCCACACATTGCATTCCACATAAATCGCCACTCAGCAAGCAGAGACCAGGATTCAAATTTCCACAAATTTTTGGGTAGGTAACTAATACCAATTTTGATCCTACATATACTGTACACCACTTTAAAGCAAGAAAAACTTAAAAGCAAGCAGGACAGCAGCATGTCAATTTATTCACTATATAGGTTCTCAAACTAAGCTCCTAGTAAAACAAGAGCTCTCCTGCAATATCCTAGGCATTTTTTTAGCTTCTTAGCCGTTTTGGATGAGCCTACCTCGTCAATGTGAAGCCACCCCAAACCGCTCAGGACAAGTAGAGTTTGTCTGTCTGCTTGTCTTTTCAGGACAAGTAGAGATGTCTCAATTAACCTATTACAAATACCGATGGCGTCTTCGGTCTGTACTTGACGTAAAAATATGTTTTTGGCTACCTTGTAGGGTTTGTATCACGGTGATGTAATTGTCGCGAGTTCGACATTAAATGGATACTTTTGGGCTGAATGTCTCTCACGCTGCTCTTGTTTGCATTTCACCAGCTAGCGTTCATAGAACAGCTAAGCAGAACACATAGCTACTCTAACCGATCACAACGAATAGCACTAGCAGTTAACTGCGATCGATGTGAGCACCATTCGCACAAAAAACAATAACTCTTCGTTTGGCAAGTGCAAATAATGGATTTCTGGTTCAAAGCAAAGTCTAAATAAATAGTGTCTTTGGTCGAATATTGCATAGTTGCTGCACCTTTCTTCACGCCTTTCACTACCATTACATTATGCTTAAATGAAAATTCAGCTGAACTTGCGAAGGTTGTTCCCAAGCTTCTAATTGCCCACAAATGAGCTCTGTTAGATTTAATCTAGCTACATTTATAGATTGTGGCCTCAGAAAGTCCAATACCTACACTGAGAGGGCAAGTAAACGGCAATGTTGACATATAAGTAAACCCATAAAGGAACCCAGCCATACTTAATTGAAGGGATTTATAAATCTTTTTGTTATGAGCAAATATTTTCTTTGATTTTGAATTTGAAAGCATAAAATTAAAGATGTTTACAAACCTCTATAACGCGAAATTAGAGTGCAGCTCTTGAGGAGGAGGAGGGGAAGATATGCCTCCCCTCCTTTCCACCTCCCCCCCCCTCCTCCTATTACCCTCCCATCCTCGTCCTCCGTACCCTCCCCTCCTCTCACAGTTTCTCCGCTAAATTTAGCTGAAGAATTGACACCACGTGACGTCTATTTTCCCGCTAATCTAGCGGAGAAACTGAATTTGTTCATAGGTGACGTGACGCCAAGTCATATGACGTTATTTTTCCCACTCAATTTATAGGGGAATTAAATTGGTGTTGAGGTCACGTGACATCAATTTTCCCACTAAATTTAGCACGATTACGCCGACGCCGCAAAACCCAGGAACGGGCACCTAAGAGCTGTGCTCTAAAAGCACAAGTAATGAACACAGGTTGTTGGAACATTGCTGCTTAACACATACTCTTGCATAATAGAAGCAGTTACATTTTGAAGGTTTTAGTGCAATGTAAATATTAACAATCACGTTTAATTTTTTAATTTTTTTTATTTATTAGGCACACGCATGCACCACACCACTTTAAAGGTGTTTTTCACCTCGCGCGCATCTGCGCTGCGGCGAAGCGAGTCGCAAAATCGCAGTGTCAGCTCTGCGGGTATTGCTTCTCCATAGTGGTCCGGTGCTTGAGGAGAACTGCACTCAAGGGGGCTAACCCGCTGCAGTCACTCAACACTACAGAAAGTATGAATAATGCAGTTCGTATTGAAGCGAATATCAAATGGTGTACTATAAATGGCGTATTCTTTGAAACTACTATTCGAAAATTTGAATATTTGCGCAACCCTACTTTTCGCACATAGTAATTAGGCATCTGCAAAAACAATGCTTTCTTAATTTTAGTGGCCTCGCCAACAATGCCACGTGCCAGACACTTTCAGTTTCCTTTTCGAGAACAGCTTTTTTGCTGCAGACATGGCACAAATTGGTCACATATACAGCCTTTGGAGAGGCATGTCGCAGGTATTCATTCTGGCACAGTTTGGCGCAACAGTTCCGCCACTGCTACACACATTTGCAAGTATGGCCTCAGGGTGCTGCCATCTTGCTCAGTTGGGGTGCACTTGGGCAAGCCATAATCCGATTACGACGACTTACTAAGGCGTCGTAATCAGGTTATGTCACGGTGGCGGATGGTGGCATCCTGAGGCTGCACTCGCAAACATGTACACTGTTAACAAAATTTCCGTTGCAATGTTACTGAAGAGGACAGGTTCGTCGGCTGCTACACGAGGAAACTGAATGTTCTTCGAGATCAACGAGTTTTGAGAAAGGACACCCTGTCAGCTGACAAGACATCTCCTTGCCACACCCTCCCAAAAGGCGCAAGACCCACTCACCTTCTGGACGATCTTGCTGAGCTCGTCGAAGGAGGTCTTGCAGTCAGTGCAGTACTTCTGGGCCAGCTGCTGGATGGCCCTGTTGACCGTGTTGGAGGAGGCGGCAGATGACCCGGTGGCCGGCGCGCTGGTCCCTCCCGTGGATGCCGTGCCCGCGGCGGCGGCCGCCACTTCTTCTTCCAGGGCCCTGTCTACCATGCCCTGCTCCTGGACCTTCAGATGGGATTGGAGAGACCACGAAAATGTCGTCGTCGAGTTGCAGACCCTCCGAGTATCTTGCACGACGCAATAAGGACGTACAAAGGTAAGTCGGCCTTTAGTCTCGGGGTCTTAAGAATAAGAGAACGCTCTTTATTCTCTAAACCAATTGTCATTACGGGCCACAGCAAAAGTCAATACATGGCTTGCACGTAACGTTGTTGCACTGTGACGGTTGTCATTCCTACTTGTTCTTGTCTGGAAAAATAAACTCGGTGGTGTGAAACATATGCTGCAAAAGAAAGGCATCTAACAGCAAGGCCACCAGGATTGTAACGGTCGTGACACCATTGCGAGCCATGCACTAGTAAGTCTTAATTCCTCCCACCTTTCTCTCCCCAGAATCTCCCTCCTTTACTACGCTAGAATAAAAGATAACAATGCGTGCTTCACAGAGCACAGTTTGCATTTACCTAGCCGCATTTAAAATCTTCCAGAAAATCACAAAAATATGGCCTTACACTTTTGCACTTTTTGCCAATTCGACCCGGCTGTTTTACGGAAGACGCTCTTCAGCTCGCGTTCACAAGCGACAACGGTTCTCGGAAAAAGAGAAGCACCGAAGGATGCCAGACCTTGAGCAAGAGCAGCTCCAGCGCGGGCTTGTGGGCCATGAGCTGCCTGTAGACCTTGTCCGCCTTCTCGAGGAGGGCGTTGATGGAGCCCACCGCCTTCTTGCGGTCCTCCTCGCCCTCGATGGGGTCCACGGCGCAGCAGGGCTTGGCCGTCAGGGTGTAGTCGAACTTGGCGTACTTGCAGAATCCGCACGAGTTGCACAGGAACGGGTCCCGCTCGTCGTAGTTGATGGCGCGGCACTTGTGGCACTGGAACACATTCTCGCCGCAGTTGGCACACACCCCGGGGTTGGCAGGCACCGAGGCACTGCAGCGGGGGCACTGCAGGGTCTCTGAGGACGCCTGCACGTTCTCGTAGAAGTCGGCGTACTCGATCATCAGATTGCAGGCGACGATGGGCAGCGGGAAATCCATCTTGAGCTCCGTCTGCCCCGCCGCCAGGGAGCAGCGTCGCGCCCGATGCCACATGGCAGGCCGGTTCTTCAGCTCCACCACCGACTGGACCGACCGGTTGTTGTAGTACACGTTGATGGCTCGCACCATCTTGCTGCGCTTCAGGTCCCCGATGCGCAGCACGATGCGGGACACCGTGTGCGAGCCGACCAGCTTCACGATCTGGGCGGACGTCGGTGAAGTTGTTAGTTGGTTACATCGCACTGTTTGTTACAGAGATAATCGGCCGACATAATTTTGTCGGTAGAAAATACAACATGGGCAATTTAATGCCTGGCACTCTCAAGTGCCAGCATTAAATTAGCACAAAGCAGCAAGCAACAAAGTTAAAATCATCTGGTAGGCTAGTTGGCTATACATCTTGGTAAAATTAGTGCAAAGATGTAAGTAGCGCTCTATCCTGTCTCTATGTTCTTCCTTGTCTTTAGCTAATTTTGCCAAGAAGCAACAAAGTTAGCAGCAGCTATTCATAAAATGATGTATAGATGGTCTAATGGAGGGCATAGAATTCATTTAGTACTCTTATTGTAGCCAAACTTAGTAATAGAACATATAGGCAATTTAATTATACTAAGAAACATATTCCATGATTTGTATCTGATGCATTTAGCTGTAATAGGGAAAAAAAAGCCAGCAGTTGTAGCTAGACCTTACAATCAGTGCGCCAGCAGTTGTAGCTAGCCCTTACAATCAGTGCAGCAATTTCAAGGTACTACCGCAGAATACCGAGCATCTGCCAGTTCCACAATAAGCGTCCACCCCTCAATTTTGTAACATTCGGAAAATTGTTGACATAAGAAGCACCCATCCCCCAGTTTTACATGATCACCTTCAAATATAGAGTAAGCGCTTCCTTGGGACTTTATGGTATACCTCGTTTCAGCTTCGGTCCGAGCGTGGCCGATGTTATAAGCCGAAGGGCCAATCAAACAGCGAAAGAGGCACAACGTCATGGCGTGCTCTCTGCAGTTGATAGGACCAGCCAGTATTCGCCGTCTCTCTGCGCGTGCTCATCCGTCGGCTAGTCCTATCAAGTGCAGAAAGCACGCCATGACGTTGCGCTTTTTGCGCTGTTTGATTGACCCTTCGGCTCATAACATCAGCAACGCTCGGAAATAAGATGAAACAAAGTATAGGTACGGAGTGTGACAGGGCTAGCCTGAACAGGACACTGCCAGTGAAATAAGAGTTAACATGCAGACAAGTATTTATAGTAACTATACACTGCCAGTGTTCCCTAATTTGCTCTCACAACTGAAAAACTATGAGCAAAAGTACTGAGTGATGGAATAACCCATTCCAGGCATGAAATGAAATGGTACAATGTGGTGTTCATGACTGTCCAGTCCGAGCATCACTGTCGTAAAAAGCTGTTGGCACGTCTGCGCTAAAAGTGGCGCACAGTGTACATGGTACAAGAGGCCCATGCCTGAACAGCACTGAAAAGTGCAATGGCACAAAATGTTAGTGAGGCTGTAAAATTCGGAAATGGCTCTAGTTGCCATGATGTGCCCTCAAGGAAAGTGCTCTAGCTCACCTGTGTGGAGGTGGTGAAGCGGGAGTCCACCTTGATGGCGGACAGCTTGATGTTGGCGTAGGCCACCTCCGGGTTGTTGCAGACCAGGCAAGGCTCACTCTCCAGGTAGTAGCCGTCCAGCTCCACTAGGCCCCGCAGTGAGTTGTACAGGCTAGAGTTGGAGTGGTTTGAGAGCAGTTCGTTCTGCTGGTGCAGCACTGCCAGAGCCTTCTCCGTGAACTCTTTTTCGGGCTGTGGAGCCTGAGAACATGAGAGGAAATGTAATTGGAGCTTTGCCAACTCGAAGGTAGTTGTCAAGAGCATCTTGTTGTTTCGCCACTGACTGCATTCCTGTCGAGATCCTTACATTCCGACGCAATTAGAGTCTAAAAGCAGTTACTACTAGACACTTGATCTGCATAAAGTGTTTATGTCCTCGATTTCCTGGGAAGCTTCGCGCCTTGACCAGACGCACGTCTTGCCTACACACACCAATGGATGGTGTGCATAGGCAAGAGGTGCGTCTGGCCCACGAAAAATCGTAAAACTCTGAAAGTTCGTAAAATATAGATGTAATAATAAAATCTGTTCTGGTCTACATTGGTTGCCAGGTTGTATTGCTTCTAATGGTAGCATTATTTTTGGCAATATTCCCCTTAAGGTCAAACGCAATGGTAACAACCGACCAAACTCGAGACCAGTTGTTGAAAACTGTCACAGGAGAGGCCCACTTAGGTGAAATTCAGTTCACACGCAGCCAGACTATGAAACTGGTCCAATCCAGCTAGAAATGAGACAGTCCAGATATATCCAACTTAGACCAGTTCCCTTTTCCAGCTGCAAGTGGGCTGACTTGTACCTAAGGTTCAGTGTTTTCGGATAAATCCACAAAACTAAAAAAAACACCCGCCGGTAAAATTTTGGTCAATGCGGGATTTATTCGATAAACTCAGAATTTCCATGTCCCAATCCCAACCCCCCCCACACACACACACAAAAGTATTTTACAATTAATGGTTTAATCAGTGTGTGGTGTCAATGGTCCTGGGAAAATGCCATCACATTTTTGTTTCTAATTTCGGTCAGGACAAAAGGTCATTGTAGTCTCGGGTCACGACAAAAGTCACTGTTTATGTTTCCAGTTGAGGTCATACAATTTGTGCTTTAGAGGAAGGAGAGGTTGTGTTTTTGCAACACTGAAAGCTATGGACCACAAAGATTGCATAAAGAGGGGAAGAGGGACAGTTGTAACTTCTCTATTACATCCTTTACCACTCTGTCTCGCGCGGCCGCGCGGTAGGTTGATGGAATGGTATGAAATGAATACAAGCTTCCCAGTGACCACCTCCAGGAGTTTATTGATTTTAAGGTATCGACATTTAACGAAGCACCACTTGTGCGCAACTTTTGACGTCGGACAAATTAGTATTGCCAGTAGTAATAAAATCAATGCCAAATACAACCCAAGAAAATATTAATTGATACAATCACATTTTTTTTGTCCAGCATACGTTTACGCTTGGATATTATTTATTTATTTTTAATAAAAAAAAACACTGTGAAATTAAACTCGGAATTTCGGAGCATTGGGAAACAAACAAAAACAAACTCCGATAAACTCCGAAGCTTCAGCAAAAAAATAAACTCCAAAAAGCACCCTCCGAATTTGTTGAAAAATAAACTCGGAAAAAACGGAACCCTACTTACACCTAAACCCATCAAATGAGCAACACTGAATATCTAAGTTGAACAAAAACCTGCAGAACCCACTTCAATAAATATTTCTTTGGCATTTGATAGAATTCTACTTATTTGTCTGGCCAGTGTCCACCGTGCCAGCGAAACCAAGACCGGCCGGCCAGATATTTATCTATAGCAAAACCCGACTACAGCTAATTATAGTCTATTTCATTTATTTACACCTTAAGGGCCTGTGAAAGGCATTACATAACGAACACCCAAATATTTAGAACAAAAATGCATGTAAAAAAGTACAACCCATTGGCTATATTAAACTAAGAAAAAACGCGGACTTCGAAAGTGCACGAGCACCCATCTCGTAAAAAAGAAAACTGAAATTTCACGAGTGCCCCTGTCTCGTATAAAGTTAAAGCCTCTCAAACAGAAAAAACAAAAAGAGTGATCGCAGAAAGTGCAAAGAAACACATAGACACACACAAAAAAAAAAAGTCAAAGTCAGGACATGCTGTTGGGAGCAGTCTCCACTCAGTTTGTTTTTCTCCTCCCCGAGTGCTCTCCGATTGCGAAATTTCGGACACCATGTCGGCTGCCTCATAACCACCGCTTGTTATGTTTTGTTTGTTAGCTCTCTTTTTCGTTTGACATCCGCGTTCCACATCGGGTTTGCGCAGAAAATGGCCACCGTCTTCGTCGTTCTTTGACAGGTTAGAAATGATTCCTTGGCGCAAAATACAGATTTTAGCGATCATTGAACTTCTGCCAGCAATCATGGGGCATCGGCAGCTGGATAGGCGGCGGCATTCGCATTCAACCAGCAATTCTCGCTGCGGCTCGGCTGCTCTGCGCGGCTCTTTCATCTCTGTAGTGTTCCGCTGGCTTTATTTGTACTCTGGCTTCACGGGAGCAAAATCAGACTTTTTTTCAAGGACACGACTGCCATACTATGGATTGTGTCCTTGCAAAGCCTTTTTGCCCAGACATAAAGGCTTCGCAATCAGCTAAAATGGTAAAAGATTTTTTTTTTTTTTTTCCGCGCGTGCCTGGGTGTTTTGATTCTGTAAACGTGCTTGCAGAATAAACAGTTTGAAGGCTGCTTTCTCTTCCAGCTGTTAGCCCACCTAGAGCGTTAGTTTCACGGGCCATAAATGTTTTTTGCGGTCCACTGAAAAATGCATGAACGTGTGTTTACCATAGTGTCAATGAAATAATTGTTCATTATGAAGCCCCGGCCTCAAAATTTGCGGCAGGCCCGGTTTCGATATAGCGAATTACGAGACACATTGAACTCAAATGCATGTCTAATGAAGTTTGTTATAAACGGGTTCTGCTGTACTAGTTTATTTAGAAAAGTTAAACAAGATTATAGCACGTGTGGTACACAAATGTAACCTCAACTTGAAAACACCTTAGGCGAGGCTGACCCTCGCATATAACACCCAGACGGTCAACCAATCGGCACTAAACTAATAATGTCGACGTGCATGCAGGTTATGTATGACAAGTCAAATAACTCTCGCACGGACCTCTTCACTAATTTTGAAAAGTTTGAGAAAAGAGTATCGGTGATTACTCAGCAGTCAAATATTTATTTCGTCTCTTATATGTGCACCCGCCCTAAAGTCTGCCAGCTGTTTGGGGGCCCAATAAAACAGAAACTAATCAATCTATCGATCGAAAATGAACACTTCAAATGGACTCGCACGCTCGAGTTCGTAAAACAAATTTTGCAAACGAATACTGCCGTAAGCGGCCTTATTTTTGCTAGCTCAATATTTTGCAAATTTCGCACTGAAGAGTAGGCTTGGAAAACATTTTGCAAAACAAAATTTCGCGATTCGGACTGATACACTGCGCAGTCTTTACTGCGGGGCGACACGTTTGCGCGATTAACTTTTCACAAAACTATTTTAGTTGAGAAATTTGCGAAATTCGGGCCCCAGCAAAAATTATGTAATTTACGGCGTTGAACGTGACGCCCGACGACGCACCTTGAGGGTGAAGTAGCCCAGGAGGTCCACGAACTGGGCCGCCTTGCGTCCATGCGAGGGCAGTTGGGGCCACAGCTGCCACATGAGCCCCAGAAGAGCCTCGCGGTGGGGCGGCTGCGAGTGGCGGTGCAGCTGGTGCAGCAGCGAGTGGGCCTGCCACCGCACCGCCGTCGAGTTGCACTCCAGCAGGAAGGCACGCACAAACTGCCCCAGGAGCGCCTGATCCACCGACCGGTGGACCTGCTGTGCCAGGGCGGCGCACTGCGCCTCGTCCGAGCTCTCCGGCTCGTCCGGCTCTTCCGAGGTGTCGCGCGCTTCCCGCTCTTTCCGCTGCTTCGAGGGGGAGCTGGTTGCATGAGGGGCCGACTTGCTGCTGCCGTGCTGTGGCTGCTGCTGCTGGGTGGCGGCGGCGCCGCACAGCGCAGACTGCAGGAGCTGCAGGATGATGGAGGCTACTCCTTCGTCCAGCAGGAAGCTCACCTGTGGAGTGGAAACGTGCTTGCAGTGAACGAACGAACGAGCCGAATAGATAAGGAAAAAACTTTTAGCCTTTCCACTTTGGGGAAGAAGGAAGAGCAGCGGAGCTGTAGCTTCTGTTCTTGGCAGTGGCTTTCCAGGCGAGCGATCTGCTCTTCGTTCGCAAGGGAATCTGAAGCGCTCGACGCAGTGAAACTTTAAGCGATAGTGGCCTCGCGGCGAATGCGGAACCATTTGCGCTAAGCGCACATCGCCGCTCGTTCTGTTCCCGCTCTTCTTCCTTTGAAGAAATGTTGCTGTTATCTATAAGAAACGGAAGTAGGTTTTTCCCCGGGCAGAATTGCAAGCCATCCACAAGGGCATAGGGCCTCGCCGCCTCAACGTGGCGACACCCCACGGCCTGCCCGAGTAGGCGGGGATGCGGGGAACACGTGGTTCCCAAACATACATTTTCGATTGTATGTACACCCGTGTGGAAAAAAAAACAACCAACTTATATAAAAAGTTGAAAACCATACCACACTGGCATTTGAAACCACATTAAATGTCCTCAAGTAAAACGTCCCGTATAAGATTCTACAAGCAAGACTACAAGATCCGGTTCACACGGGAGCCAAGGGCTTTCTTCCATCGAATGCGACTTAAACCCGCAAAACGCGACCCTCGTACAAGCCGTTCCTGTTTACCTTTCCCGTGCTCGGTCCGTGTCGTTCCCACTGACAACTGCTTTATTTGAAGCATAAACATGGGCCAGATGAAAGAGACACCACCCACCCGAAAGAGGAAGGGCAGCACGGTGTCGTCCTTTTGGCAAAAGCGCTGCCAGTTGCCCGTGCGGGAGGTGGCCACCTCGGTGCATGCCTTGAGGTGCTCCACCATCACGATGAGGGCGTCGTACGAGAGTCCCGCCACCTGGGCCACCCCGCCGTGGCAGACGGCCCTCGAGCCAGCCAAGTGCGACTCAAGCGCGTGGAAGTCCCGCAGCTGCCGGTATTTCTCCTTGGAGCCGCACAAGAAGAGGAGCAGTTTGCGCACTTGGCGCCGGATGAAGGGCGTCTGTTGCACCATCATGTACTCGCACAGGTGCGAAAACCAGGCAGGGCCGAAGTTGGGCGCGGGGCAGCCGGAGGGTACCGCCATCGCCACTTTCTTCACCTGCGTTCCGAGCAAAGTGCACTCGACTTTAAGCTTGCACATTTTCATCGCTAGTTTTCTGGTGTCGATGCTCCTTTGGTGTTAGATTTCCCTATCGATCATTCATGGTGGGTTCGAGCACCACCAGAGGCGGAAAATTGGTGACCTGTAGTCAAAGCAAGGAACACTCGGCTTTGCAAGGCGCGTTATGAGTACGACTTTGCACTGTGACCTTGCATGGAAGACAGATTTTATTGCTATCTTCCTGGCAATGGTAAGGAGTGCTCAACTTCATGAGGCACGCTGAATATACACTTTGAGGAGTGACTTCACGAGGAGCTTCAGCCGATCATTCACCTCTATCTGTCGGCCATTGTGCCAATCAGAGACCTTTTGTTAAAAAATTGCCTCAGTAGGAAGCCGATTCAAGCTATTTATTTTTAACACCTTACTCGGGTAAGCTCATTCATTTAAATCTTTTTACACAAAATACACCACCTCCAGCCAGCTCTTACCAAAATCTTAGGCTCCACACGTTAAAAAAACGACTTGCGCACTCCATTCAAGTGGCCAACGATCCCTTTGACTCAAGCGGTATGTGCAGAAGCTGTCACCAACCTGATAAGGCAGGCGCAGAGCCATCTCAGTGAGCAGCTGAGGGTATGCCTCAAAGACGTCGTTGGCGTGGCCCTTGACGTACTGGCGCAGGAAGAAGGGGGACATGTCCGGGGGAGGGGACGAGGGGTGGGGCTTGAGCAGGGGCGTGCCACTGGTCCCGCTGGCTCCGCCCGTGCCGCTCGACGAAGCGTCCGAGTCTGTACTCTGCACGGACTTCCAGTGGACCAGCAAGGTACCCAGAACCTAGACACAACCCAGAGATGCATCAGAAATCGAGTGTGGTGGGTGAGGAAAGGCATTGCGATTCGAAACTATGACAGTAAGATGCAGGTAAAGTTGTAAGAAGGTCAGAGACAGTCAAAAGTATTTGACCAATTTCAGAATAAATTGTTCACCCAATGTGTTCTCGAACCTAGGATAGCCACCCAAGTATCAACAATCAAAATTAAAAAAAAAGAAGTTAATGTTACATTACCGTATTTACTCGCACAATGAACGCACTCGCGTAATGAACGCACCCCCCAAGTCGGTTTCTCAAAATTTCGACTTTTTTTTTTTCATTCGAGTAATAAACGCACCCCCAACTCCGATGTCAAAATTTTGACCCCTCCCCCCACGCGTGCGAAATGAACCCACTTTTTTGTCTTTGCGCAACGAGGTCGCGAATGCATGGGCAGCGTGAGCAAACAAAACACCTTGCAAAAGGCGTTAAAAAATTCGCAAAGTTCCAGCGGAAGCAAGAAAAAAACACGGAGAGGAGCTTTTTTTTTTTTTTTTTTTTTTGCTCAGCGCAGTCTGGATTCGGTTTCGCGCGCAAGGAGGTAAGAAAGGGAAGCGGAGAAGCGAACAAAACAGCTTGCGAAAGGCGGCAAAAAAACAAAACAAAAAAAAAAACAACGGAACTAAGAGAAAACAAAAACAAAAAGGAGCTTTTTTTTTTTTCTTTTTTTGCACAGCGCAGTTTGGTTACGGGGGTCGCGCGATGTAAGAAAGAGGAGCGGAGAAGCCCTCTGAGCAAACGGAACAGCTTGCGAAAGGCGAAAATGAAAGAAAAAAAAAAAAAAAAACACGGAACTGAGAAAAAGAAAAAAAAGAAAAGGGAGTTTTTTTTTTCTTTTCTTTTTTTTTTTTTTTGCACAGCGCAGTTTGGTTTGGGGGGGGGGGGGGTGGGGGGGTCGTGCGTCGCGCGCCGCGCGCAAGGAGATAAGAAAGATAAGCGGAGAGCCCTCGCCTAAGCAACGCCTAAAGCGCGATCCAAACCAACGCTTCTTTTTGCGCCTGTAGGTCGTGCGGCTGCGGATGTGACGCATTTCGTGGCGTTTTTGCTGTTTCCGGGCGCGCTTTCTGAGTCAGAACCGTGCGCTTCGGTTTGGACGGGCGAAACTTCGGGCGAGCGCGCACGCGCGCACGCAGGCACGAGCGCACAAGCAAGGTGCAACTGCGACAGACTGGCCGGCCAGACGGCGAGAGAAAGAGAGAGAGAGAGAGATCGCGTTGTCATGTTGGAAGAGAATAAAAGGGGGGAGGAGAGGGCAGGCAGACGGCGAGAAACGCGGAGCCGGAACTAGCTTGCCCTCCACCGATTGGCAGGGACACAGGCGCGCCCTGCTACGTCACCGCGCGTTTTTGTGCGCGTCCAGAGAGAAGTTGAAATCATCCAACTTCTTCGTGCGCGCCCGGAGGGAGCGAAGAAGCGGCGCGACGTCACGAAAATGCGTCACATCCGCAGCCGCACGACCTACAGGCGCAAAAAGAAGCGTTGGTTTGGATCGCGCTTAAGCAAACAAAACAGCTTGCGAAAGGCGGCAAGACGGGGTCGGGCGCCGCCCGCAAAGAGATAAGAAGTTGCTTCGATTTTTCAGGATAAAAGGTCGGTTCATTATGCGAGTAAATACGGACGCAAAAATTTTACTTCGCGTAATGAACGCCCCCCCCTAACTTTGCATCAATTTTTCGGAAAAAAAAGTGCGTTCATTCTGCGAGTAAATACGGTCTACATTTTGATGTCTAGAAAAGCAATCACGCTTAAATGCATTGTCTTGTTATATGCACACATGCTATAAACAAGCTGGGTCTGAAGCCCATAAAAGAAATTATCAGTCTCGAGTTAATCCAAAGTACAGTCACAACAATCAAGTCACGGCAAAGTCATTGGGTGCCAGCGTCGCGTTCACACACCCTGGGATGCATGCAGAAGTGTTCAGAACCAAATGGGCTTCTAACCATTTTGTTTTGACCCCTTCTGTCTCTTTTACAGTGGAGCAGCTAAGGGCTAATTTCCCTAGGATAGTGCCCACCAGCAAATAATGTCGACACCACTCCGGACAGCTACTGCCATCTATAAGCGACGTTGGCAACCTTTCCAGCCTTTCCACTCTGGCTTGCCGACTTGCGGTCAGCCATTACTTCATTCCCACCGTAGTAGAGCTTTGCTGGTCTTCCTTCTTCACCAGTATAAAAAGGCTGGAAGTTTTTTTTTGTTTTGTATTTTGTTCTGGAGCACGTGAAAATGCACCTTTCGGCACGGGCCCTTGGCATTGACTGTGCTATGGTGGTATTTTGGTATTTTGGTAGCAGCTATTGCCTTGTATTTTTTCAGAGAGTGTATGCAGTTGGCATTGGGTACTACAAAGAATGGCATCACCCTAAACACAAAGACATTGAGGCCACCTAGTCAAAGATGTGGCATGGCTCAGTGGTAACGCGCCCACTTCACATGCAGCGGACCCACAATCAAATATGGCGGGCTGCGGGAGATCTTTTTAAAGGAAAATCAACATAGGGCACCCTACATCTTACTACTAAGACAACATCAACTACTACATCAAAAACTACAACGGACATCATTTTCAGAGGTTGGGAGAGTCCATAACAGCTACTGCTGTAAAAATTAAAAAGAGGTGACTTGGGGATCTATTCTCTTTAAAAAAAAGTTATTTTACAGCAAAAGCTGTTATGGGCTCATCCCATCACTGGAAATAAAGTCCGTTGTTGATGTTGTAGTGGTTGATGATGTAGTTGATGATGTGGTAGTTGTTCATGATGATGATGTTGTCATTGTCAATGTTGTAGGTGGCGTAGTAGAGCGTAGGGTGTCCATTGTCGATGCTGCCAAATCCTTGAAAAAGACTGCCCGCTGCCCGCGGGAATTGAGCCTGGGTCTACCGTGTGCAAAGCGGATGTGGTATGCGATTCCCACTGCATGTTTGTTTACATGTTTATCATGTTTACCATAAAAAAATACAAAGAAATAGCCAATAACAAAATGCCGCCGTAACACTGTCAATGCCAAGAGATTGTGCCAGGGATGCGCTTTTATGCGCTTTGAAACAAAAGAGAAACAAAGTCGTTCGGAACAAAATGGTCAAATGTCAATTTTGCTCCGAATGCTTTTGCTCATGCACCCCACAGCAACATACTCAGATCTATCAGTTGATAAGCTCCACGAAAGAGCAGCGTTCGAAATTGGTTCTTCTCTGTTGCCTCCACGCGAGCAGGTGCAGGCGGGGAACGTTCCTAGCGTCATTGGCGTTAACGCCTCCATGGACAACCAAGGAGGACCATTTTCGGATGACGCAGTCTTTGAATCGATTTTTGCACAAACTTTATGTTAACCATAAAAACCCTGATAGAATTGCTTCCCACTGCAGGTAATCTTCATCCAACGTTCCACCGATTCAGCAACTTCTGTCCATTCGGCGGGCTGATAGTGTAGCGAGCGCCACGGAGCAAACGTGCCACGAAAAGGTGCCAAGCGTTCTAGGAAGCTTGTCAACTGACTTTGGTCTAGTAACGTTGCCCAGCGGTGCGTGAACGCGACGCCGAGGCCCAATGACTTCGTTGTGACGTGTCATAGCTATCGCTGTGACTGTACTGTCGATTAACACAGGACTGCTAATTTTTTGTTTTCACCTTTTTTTTAACACTAACAAAAGAAAAAGGAGATGGGAGAAAAAGTATGCAGAGTGCAAGTTTGTCTACTTCTTTTGCGGGGGTTGGGGTGACGTCAGACTGCTGAGCACTGATTGGCTCTGATCAAAGGATAGCAGGTAGACCTCAAGGCAGGTTGCTTTGAGCTCCACCCACTATCCTTCATCAGAGCCAGTCAGAGCTTGACATTCTGACGTCACCACGACCCCTGCAAAAGAAGCAGACAAACTTGCGTTCTGCATTGCCTCCATGTTGATGGCACAGAAAAGAAACATCATTGACATGCCCAACTATGATGGAATTGGCAAACAATGTAATATTCTTGGTTCCATACTTGCACAACAAATCCCTTTCTTGTTAAGACTCTTTTCTGCTTTGAGAAGATATTTTTGGTTATGTTATTTTTGAGTTTGGTGGCTTTAGTGGCCTTCAGTCCTTTTCACATGACTGTATTCCTAGATCTTTTCAACTCCTCTCCTTTTTTCAGTGTAGAAGCCAATTTTGTATGTAGAGCTCCTTGAACTCGGTTCTAAAACAGGAGCCTCATAAACAATGACAATTGTTTTTGGATAAATAAAAAGGTAGTGTTAGATTTGAATGAATATGCTAAAGTTTTAGAAGACTCAATATGCAGGTGAATATAGCAAAGAAACCTCACACAGTCTATACCGCAATACCTTGCGCATACAATCCCAAACACCTTTCCAGGTGGAAACATTCACAAGCACCGGACTCGCTTTCTGCACGCCGAGCCTATATCTTTCCTACGCAGCGACATAAAAGGTTGCAGGACTCCGTACCTGAAGGCAGTGGTCAACAATGCCGCTGGCGTGCAGTGCCACGGCCGCGGAGGTACTGCAGTAGTTGGGTCCCGGGCCGGCCTCCCCAGCAGTGGACCCCTTGCCACAGCCCTTGATGCGTGACATCATGATGCTGAGCAGCCGCATCACAATCAGCTGCTCCTCCGAGGCAGGGCTGCGCTCCACCACCTTGGCCACGTCGCGGTCCAGCTCTCCAACCATGCTGCTCAGCAGGCTGTCCAGGGTTGCTCGGTCGCGCTCGTCTTCGCTGTCCAGGTCTGAACTCAACATCAGGACCACCTGCAAAGTGCGGCAGAAGTCACTAGGTTGCACGTTTTCACGACGACGTCTGCAGCAGTAACTCTTCTAAAGCAAAAGCCTAAAACAAATGACATCGTGCATGCTCGTTCGTCAAAGCCTCATTTTAGTTATTTACTTAAATCTTTTGTTTGGGGAAGGCGTGTGTCTGCGGTGCGTGCAGCGGTGCGAACGTAAAGCATTTTGGTTATGCAAACGAAGAATCCACGGAGCCCTAGCCATAAACAGCTTCGCTGTAAAAAATGAAAACGAGAATGGGAAATCGTAATCGCTTTGCTATAGCCGCTATTTCGTTTTACCCAGCGTCATTATAATAGGGCGCGACAGCACTCCGATTGCACGTGATCACACAATTTGACGACGTCGTGGGGAACAGCCCAGTCCTACCCAAAGAAATGGAGCAAAGAAAACCAAATTTGAACGTCCGGTTGCCATTCTGGCTCCGAGCATTCTTCTCTGCTCATTCTTCTCACGTCTTCTCTGAGGCTCGTGCCTCGAGTCTCGACCATTTTCTTAATTTCTGAATGCTCGAGAAATCTGTGGGCCTGTTGGTTGCTACAACATCGCTAAGTTTTCTGCCTAGCAAAACGCCGACACAAATGCGGCTGGGGGGTCGCTATAACAGCTACCGCTGCAAAACGGTCTACATGCTTCTCAAAGACAAAACTGTCGGCCACGAGGAAGGTGTAGCTCACCTGCATAAAGGGAATGGCCCGCACTCCCCCAACGGTGCGCAGCTGGGGCAAGAAGTGGAGCAGGCGGTCGAGCAGGGCCCCTCTGAGGGCGTGCAGGCCCCAGGCCACCTCGGGGTCTATGGCCTCGTGGGGCATCGAGGGGTTCGAGGGCAGCCCCACCGAGCTCGTCTCCGAGCGGGCCAGCAGCAGCGCTCCCAGGGGGCCGCCGGGGCCGCCCTCGGGCACGTTGTCCCCGTAGGCGCTGCTCCGGCCGCTCACGTTCGGCTCTCCGGTCATGGAGTCTGCCCCGCTGCCCCCGCTCTCCGACCCGGCTCCGCTGCCCCCCTGCTGCGGAAATGAAGGGCACGTCGCATTTGTGCCCACTTTTGTCTTCTTTCCCGAAAAATTTAGTTCGGAAATGGACGTGTGCTGAACCTGTACCTGCAGTTTTGGAACTGGTAAAAAAAATGAGACAGATGTTGAAGACAAAACTCTGCGAAAGTGAGTTGGCCTCTTTGGGTGACCGGAAAGAAAGCTTCGCCTAAAGCCACCCAAGTGTGTATCAAAACTCGCACATTTCTCGCATGTATAGACCTTTTCCACAAGGGCGCCGCCATCTTGAATTGTCGTCACTTCCAGTATGGGCGAAAACATTACTTTGCCGTCACCACGCTAATGGAAGACATTTAGGATATAAGCCTAACCGTCACACATTCTCGTTTTAGCTCCCCTCTATTTTTTTACTAGTTACAGGTTGAAACGTTTTACTCTTTTGTCCGCGCCCATGCCGTTCTCACAAATTCGCAGTAAAATGCGCCCCGAAATTTTTTTTCTTTTTTTTGGGCGGGGGGGGGGGGGGGGGGGGGGGGGTGCAAAGTCGATTTACAATTGAGTCAACTTACAATTATGTAAATACGGTATGTTGTTAACAGCTTCTAAACTTCGCACCTAAATGTCTTATGGATTCATCATTTTTCCCTGCGTTGATATGTGCTTCGGACCTCATGGCCCTGTCTCTTCTTGCATTACCGTCGGGAGAGGAAACGACGCCGGCACGAAAGCAAACGGACGTGATCGCCTGCAAGCGTAGCACGAAACAACGCACCTTAGCGACACTTTTAAGACCGCTTAGGCTCAATAAAGCTAATTTTTGGAATCTGCAGATTTTTCGGCCAGTTTTATTATTCGGACGCTTTTTACGGTCCCCACGAAATCCGAAAAATCGGTCGGTGACTGCACTGTCATTCCAGAGACTCGCACCAAATTTAGGTTGCGACGCTGCACGAAACGATTTTGACCCGAGGTACCCACCTGTTCGGCGGGCGACGTGCGCAGCGTGGAGCCGTCGGTCGCAGCGGTGCTCCCCTCGTCGTCGCTGGCCCCCGCAGAGGCCGTGGTGTCCGAGTAATGGCCGCCTTCTAGAGGGGAGGACCTCTGGGCTCCCCCCTGGGGGGCCATGGCCAGACTGCCCAGGTTCAGCTCTTCAGACTCCCCAGGCTGGTCCTGCAGTCAGCACAGACCAAGGCTAATCAACTCTCGGTCATTCAAAGCAGAGGTGCATGTCCTAATATGAATTAATCGGAAAAGATTAGAAATGAAAAACGGTCATGTCTCATTAATGTGGATGCCTCCATTCCCCCCCCCCCCCCAAAGATCATCCACAATGTGAGTCATTCATAGAGACAAAACTGAGTGTGTTTACCCAGTTCGTTCCCAAAACCTTTTTCTATACAGTGGGGCAGTGGTTCTCAAATGGGGTCCCGCAAAGGCATTCTAGGGGTTCGCAAAGCCCTGCCTTATCAGTTGAACCCGGCCATAAAAGTTGTCTTTTTACAGGTTGAAAAGAAAGGCTCCAATTTCCCTGCGAGTTTTGTTGTGTGTATGTCAATGAAAGAAGTCTACTTTACACTGCTCCCAAGTTATATACACTTATATTATCCTAATTAACCTATACCTTTCCTTCCCCTCACCACGAACGGGTCTTCCTTCACCTCACCACGAACAGGGTCTTTTATCACCTCCACTGATCCACAAAGGGTCTGCGAAACATCAATGGCTGAAAACCACTGCAGTGGGGTATCCATAATGGTGGGGTCCATGTTAACAAAACAAGACTGTATAGGATTTTGACAAAAAAAAATTAAGGCTCCAATCCATGCTGTGGCTTCACAACAAAGCTGTGGTATCACCTGGAACGATTGCCAACTGCACAATAGACCCTTTTTACGGCAAACGCCACCAGGTGGTGCTCCAGTCTCCGACGTCCCAGAGAACTTCCGGCTTATAAAAAAGGATGAACGACGAGTTACCATAGCAACGAGGCTACCTTAACACCGCTGCTTGAAATGTAGATGACACGTTTAACCACCAATTCTCCAGGTAAACGCCAAAAGAACGAATGAGTGTGAGATTTGTCAAAATATTTCTAGTAAAAAAAAAACATGCGTCCTCCAAGATGTAATATTGTACAGCCAAAGGCTTTCCTTAAATCTCCAACTTTGTTGTCCGTGTCGCATTGATGCTTTCTAGCAGTGGAGACACAAGCAAGCTCAACAGGTTTGCAAATACAGTGCGACCGGAAGTCGCTTGGGATGCAAGCAGCAGTTCATATTTGTAAACAGCAAAGGGGTATATACCAAATGATTGACGAAAAAAAAGTAAATGCACTGAACCAAAACTTTTTTACATATGAAAGACTTCGTACACTACCCTTGGTGCGGCAACTTATGCAACCATAATCTTTACCGAGAAACGCATGCGGGAAGCGCTACATGCTTATCATCTATCACATGGTTTTGAAACTTGTTTTGGGGTTTTCTTATTGAAACAAGTGTCAAAACCACACAATAAGAGATAATGCGCCCATGAACGGTGATAAGGCGCGAGCGTGGGTTTTCTGTCAACTATATTTTCGGTCGACTACTGTTCCGTCGACAGACACAAAAACCCGACCAACGAGTCGTATACAGCTTCGCTGTAAAAAAAAAAATGAAAGCCGTTTACAACTCCCTGTAACGCCGAATTAGAGCGCAGCTCTTGAGGAGGAGGAGGGAAGGGTACTGGGGGGGGGGGTCAAGTGACCTCGGGGGGCGGGGGGTCACGTGACCTTGGGGGTCACGTGACCTTGTGGGAGTCACGTGACCTTGGGGCGTCACGTGACGTCGGGGGGTCACGTGACGATACCGATGACGTCATCAGTAGCGTCACTGATGACGCCATCAGTGATGATGATGACGATGCGGATGCCGGTGACGTCATTAGTGACGTCACTGATGACGTCATCAGTGACGATGACGATGCGGATGCCGGTGACGTCATCAGTGACGTCACTGATGACGTCATCAGTGGCTATGACGTCAACGGGGGGTCACGTGACCTCGGGGGGTATCCCCAGGTCACGTGACCCCAGGGGGGGTCACTTGACCTGGGTAACCATCGTGACCCTCGTGAGGGTAACCCTAGTAACCCTTGTGAGGGCAACTCTCGTGACCCTCGTGAGGGTAACTCTCATGACCCTCGTGAGGGTAACTCTCGTGACCCTCGTGAGGTTAACTCTCATAACCCTCGTGACCCTCGTGAGGGTAACCCTCGTGAAGGTTACCCTCACGAGGGTTACTAACCCTCGTAACCCGCGTGAGGGTTACGAGGGTAAGTAACCCTCGTGAGGGTCACGAGGGTTATGAGAGTTACCCTCACGAGGGTAACCTAACCCTCGTAACCCTTTTGAGGGTTACGAGGGTTAGTAACCCTCGTGAAGGTTACCCTTACGAGGGTTACTAACCCTCGTAACCCTCAAAAGGGTTACCTTCACGAGGGTTACCCTCACGAGGGTTACTAACCCTCGTAACCCTCGTGAGGGTTACAAGGGTAAGTAACCCTCGTGAGGGTAACCCTTGTGAAGGTAACCCTTCTGAGGGTAAAAACCCTCGTAACCCTCGTGAGGGTTACGAGGGTAAGTAACCCTCGTAACCCTCACGAGGGTTACGAGGGTTGCGGTTACGCCGACGCCGACGGCGACGGCGACGGCGACGCCGACGGCGACGCCGCTCAAGCCGGGAACGGGCCCCTAAGAGCTGCGCTCTAAAAAAAGATCATGAGCCATTCCACTCTGCGGAGGTGGATGACCAGCGAAGCTGTTCAGCACACGACAGCTGTTCAGCACACGACATAGACGTGACATAGAATTTTGCACAATTATGAATTTCGAACAAGTACCTGCAGCTTCTTTTATTAATACTCACCTAACCAGGCAGATTTCTGCCGAAACATTTACCTTTCAATTTTGAATAAAGCTACAAACACATTTATTGTCTTGATCGGTGGTCATCGTGACAAAAAGTGTGCACACACATGTCGAGGACTATCGCCGCCCCGGGGAGCCAGAGGAAACTAGACAAGTGCAACGGGACCGGCAGCCAGCAGAAGGAAAAAAAACTAGGCACGCAAGCACTTGGAACGACGACAAAGAGAGGCCGGTGCGAGCCGTCTCTGAGTTTTTGTTGACGCACACGAAAAATCCACAGAACCCTAGCCATGAACAGGTTCGCTGCAAAAGGTTACATTTCTTTTGCGTCGCAGAGTGCAAGGAGCAATGCCACAAAAACAGATGCCATGTTGCCATCATTACTTTTACTTCCTAGCTGAAACATGCTTTTGCACTCTGACTGGTTGCTGAACGTTCAATGTGGCCTCATAATGTACTCTGCTTCGCTAAATGAAGTGCTAAGGTACCCCGATTTGCATAACTCACTGCATTCAATCACAGAGTTCATAAACTCTAAGTGTAGAAGGACAACCGAACAATATCAGCTCACTCGAACGCTATTGCTTTGAACAGCAACGAATCTACCATACTCCATCTCCATAATGCAAATTGCACCTGTGAGCTAAGAGTGTATCTGGCCCCGAAGTTGCCTTTACATAGTAATTCATTGCACCTACAGTTGGTGACAAGCTAGGAGCCCAGTAGAAGCCCCACTTTCAGCACATGCTCGTTGCCTTTCTTGAAGCTTTGGCTTTGTGTGCAACTAAGTGTTATTAAAGGCAGAAAGCTCTCGCTTGAGGCACACCCTCTACTGGGACCTCAGCCTGTCATAGACTATTTAGTGCCGGAAAAAGTGAGAACAGCAGGGAAGAGCTTCCGTCACAGCCAAAGCATGGAGTATGTGCTGAAGGCCGGGCGCTCAAAAGACACACAGTGCTGTTCTCACACCATCAGTGACTACCGTAAAATGCCGGGTAAGCACCCACTCAAAATTTAGAGATAATCGCGAAAAATGAGGGATGGACGGTTTTCCGGTCAATAATTTTAGATACCAATGTACTGTGCATATTTTCTCAAATCATACAAATTTGGCAATGGGCGCTTATTGCGAAATGGGCGGATGCGCAGCATTCTACGGTATAGTAATTTCGCTGCAGGAGAAATAAGGCCGGCCATTCATTACAGTCCAACCTTGCGATTGCCTGAATTGTGCCTCTC